GGGGACATTTTTAGCGGGTTATTATTATTATTATCATCGTCATCAACATCATCATCATCATCATCATCATCATCATCATCGGGATGGTCATTTATTTTCCTAAAAAATTGAAACCATTAGTTTTAAGGAAGTTGATTAAATATATTTCCTAGAAGAGAAAGAAAGGGGATTTTGTAGTTTTTTTTGTTTAGGATTTTTAGGGAAAAAGTTACGACGACGTGAAATTATCTATCTACCTCTTCCTCTTCCCCTTGAAAAACTTCCTCTTGAACTTCCACCTCTTCCTCTGCTCCCTGGAACTCCTTTACCTTTGGGAGGAGGAGATTTTGGACGTAAGGCTTCGATTCTTTCAGTGCAACCTGTTGTCACTTCACCGTTAACAAAATAACTTCCATACCATTCAGGAGTAAAATTACTATTTGTCAACTCTGAACCTACTGTGACCCAACCTGGTAAGCAAAAAAATTATAATAGGTTTCAATGTGTATAATGTTTTAATGATTGATTTTAATTTTATAGGTTGCGATTCATGATTGGATGAAATTACCTGGACGAATTGTACTGTCTCTGCCGAATAAATGTAATCTTCTTCTACCCAAACAAAAATGCTCGATAATGTGAAAAATTTCAACTGGTTTTTCTAATGAACCATATTCTGTTTCTTCTGATATGATCAGATCAATATCCACATTTGCATGAATGAAATCCCCATCAGTGGATCTTCTCACAGTACCTTTAATACCCATCAAACAATGTTCTTTAGTCCTTTGAAAAACATTTTTACCATCTAAATTTTTCGAATGTCCCGGATTTTTAACATTGGTTCTAATCCAACAAATATCTTCACATCTCCTGAATCCCCATTTTCTTAAACAATTTCTTCCCATGTCTAAACCTTGCGATGAACCACACCATAAAAAAACGAAACCTCTTACATCGACAACTTCTCCTATATCTAAATTCATAATTTGTTCCCAGTTCCAAAACTCTGTATTAGTCACACCTAATGTCCTTTGATACTCTTCCAAAGGAGGTTCTATCAAAACAACATCAAATTTTGTTCCTAATTCTTTAAAATCAAATGTGGATAAATCACATTTTAAATACATTGGAGGGGTTGCAGTTTGAGCAATCAAATCATCTTTTAATTTGATTAGTTCTCTGAGTTTTGGATATTCTTCAAAACGATCAGCCAACCCAACATCCCTGATAAAATTTTGTGGTCTTTGACCAGTGTCGACAAAATGCTGACAATAATCATTGTGAGGATTGGATGACTGAGTACCCTTTAAAAACGTTGAAGAATCTGTGTATACAAGTTCAACTCCAGGATTGTCACTGTTCAATTTGGCTTTTTTCAAGCAGGTATTTTCTCTTAGATAAACACTAATTTGATTTTTTTTAGAGATATTATCAGATGTTCCTAACGTTTGACGTAATTCATCGATATTAGATACTCCGAGCTGAAAAAGATTTAATTAACAGTATTAATATTTGGTTGGGGTTACCCATAAAAGTTTTTTTGATAAATAAGGAACAACTCTTTAAAATTACTTCCGTACCGTTTGAACTAATAATTTTTTTCGTTTTTGCGATTTTTCTCGTAATTCCTTAAGAATATCTGTCATTTTGGGGGATTACTGTACATTAAATAAGTAGCTATAACGAGTTCGCCATAGGTAAACAAAAATGAATGAAGTGGAAATAACAAAACGTCGTAAAACTCATTAATAAAATAGTAACAGGCAATTAATGTGACATTTTATGAATTCAATTTATATTATATTAACGTGCGTTTTATTAGTTAAAATTAAATATTTTAATTATTTAGGAAAGATTCGGATATATAACAATAATTATTTATTCATGTTTATGAAATTCATTTCAAAAAAAAGTACCATTTAAATTTTTTATTAGTACCCACTGGTGAAATTGCACTAGAAGTTTTGTCGTGGCCGAAGAATATTGTCAAGTGTAGTTTCCATGTTAATGTAGCCAAATGGTCAAAATTCACAATGTTGGTTTTTAACTTGAAAACTAAACGACAAAATTGAGCTGACAAATAACAAAACATGAATTACGTCGAACAATTGACACCAACAAATTAGATTTATATTAATTTTTATTTTTAGTTGTAAGTAAAATTAATTATTATTTTATTTAATTTCATTACAAACATTTTCGGCCGACACAAGACGCCATATTTGCTGGAATATTTTAATAGTGTCTTGAAAAAGAAAAACTGTATACGCCTTCTAAATCGACGTATTTACTTTTTACAATTATTGATTTACAAAAAAATTTCCCAAAGTATTTAAAGTTTACTTTTTACGTGACAATTATTATTATTATTCGTTAACTCCAGCGTTATTTTAAAGAAAATAACTTTTCTGGTCTTCAATTGCGTACTTTTTAATTGTATATATATATATTCTCTTTGTATTTACTTGGAAATTTATAATATTTTATACGATATATAATAATATACCAAAAATTTGAAAATGTATTTCGATTTTAAATCGGGAAAATTTTTTTAAATTAAGTTATTAAGAGTAATATCAAACGTTGAGGGAATGATTCTTAACGCCGCAATACACACTAGCCCAAGGGGTAAGAGTCACTTGCCATAAAAAAGAAAAAAACTATTAAAATATTTGATAAAAAATTTTTAGTTAAAGTGAATAATATATATCTTGTTTTAATATTCATCATAATTAGTTGAACATTTCATTTTTATTAATAATTGTTTATGTATGCTTAAAATCTATGTTTATTAAGTCAATAAATGCATTTACAAAAGTTTTTAAGTATTACTACATTAATTTCATTAATATTTAATTTTTTTTTTTTTTTTTTTTTCAAGTTTAATTTATTTTTGGAGAATGTCTGAAGAAGAATCAAATCAAAAGAAAGAGCAAAGTCAACCAGAGAAAGAAAAAAATTGTTCAATTGTGGAAAGAGTGGTACTCAATAAATCGGAGAAAGAATTGCTAACGAAAGAGGAGTGGGCACAAAAATGGCTCACAATGGAGTTGTACGTCGATCAACTTGAAGAAAGACTTTCATCAATGGAAGGTAGTAGTAGACCAGTCAACTGGTGTTTTTTTTTTTTTAACTCCAAGAGTGTTTTATTATATTTTGTTTTTTAAAAATTTTATTTTAAAAAATTTGCTATTGACAAGAAAATGAAAATTTTTAATTCCGATATTGGTCGCACTTAATTATATTATTACGAGGGCTAAAAAAAAAAAAAAAAAAAAAAAAAACATGACATTTGATTACGAGGAATATTTTGGGAATACTGCCACCTTAAACTGGACGTGATGTGTCAGTGTTGTGCTAGTGTTCTTCTCTTTATTCTCAATATAGAGGTAAAGGAAAGGTAAATGGTCTAAGGGTTAAGGAAAATCTTTTTTTTTTTTTTTTTTTTTTTAAAGATGTGGTTTTATATCAAAAAAAAAAAAAAAAAAAAAAAAAAAAATAGAAATTAACAAGTGATAGCCCGAAAATAAGTGATATAATATTTGGCTTAATTTTTTGTGGGGTAAGGAAAAATTTCTTACTCATTTGAAACGAAAGGAATAGTAGCAGTTTTTAGTGTTATGTGAGTATTATGCAAAATTCTATGTAATAAAAATGTGGAAAAAAAAAAAAGAAAAGAAATTCGTGTTTGTGATTTTCTCTCATGAAAATATAATGATTTTGAAAGGAGGATTTAATAAAGAAAAAAGGAAAATTTATATTTGAAATAACAAATGCAAGTAACAGTATGAAAGAATTGGCCTCCCATAATTCTTTGACACCAACTGTTATGGTGCTTCCCTGACTACTACACATCTCCCTGACCCTGTAGATCTGTGAATCAACCGTTGCAATCATTCTGCAGTGCCATTGCCTCTGCGAACATGGTCAGAGGATGGTTAATAATGTAAGTGTTGGCTTGCCCCTTTTTACCCTAAGGATTGATATTGCCAGAATTATTTGTATGACTTACTAAAGTGTTTAATTTTCAGTAGGGAACCTAGTTTTTTTTTTTTTTTTTTTTTTTGTTATATATAGCATTTTAGTAAGTTTGAATTTGAGTCTCAAAAGTTGCATTTATATAAATCTTATAGTGTAAGTACAATCATTAAATATTATAAAAACTGCTGTTTACCATTCGAAAATACTGTAAGTGCTTTTAAATGAGTTTGTTGTGAGAGTTATTGAGTGTTATTATCAAATGTTGTAATTTATTAAGACAAAAGAAATTGTTTTTTAATAATAATCATAATAATAATCGAATAAAATTATTTTTTTTACATATTACTTCTTGGAAAAATTTTATTCCCAGAAGATGATTGATTATTACATTATGTTAAATTTTAAAGAAAAATTTTTATTCTTATACACAAGGTGCAGGTGGAGAGTGTCATCTGAAAGGTTTTTTTCTTTAATGTTCTAATAATAATCTATTGTTACAGCGGATATAGTCAGTTTAAAAACTTCTGAAGAAAGATGTAAGCAACAGAATGCCGAGGCACTTCAGAGGGAAAAAATATTAATGAGAAGAGTTGCGAATAAAGATCAAGAAATTCAAGATTATGTGGTAAGAAAAGATTTTATTACTATATCGAGTATTTCAGAAGTAGAATTGTCAATGCGACTAACACACTAAAAATTTTTATTTAATTCTCAGAATCAAATAGCAGAATTAAAAGCTGGACAAGCTCCTGGAGCGGCAGCTCTCAGGTCAGCTCTTCTAGATCCTGCAGTCAATCTTTTACTACATAGGCTAAGGCAAGAAATAACTAGTTTAAAAACTCGGCTAGAAGAAACACAAAATGAACTTAGTGCATGGAAATTTACACCGGATAGTAATACAGGAAAAAGGCTCATGGCTAAGTGTAGGTTATTATATCAAGAAAATGAAGAGTTGGGAAGGGTGGTTTCCAGTGGTCGTTTAGCTAAATTGGAGGGTGATTTAGCATTGCAAAAAAGTTTTAGCGAAGAAGTCAAAAAGTCTCAATCAGGTATTGTTTAAAAAAAGAAAAGAAAAACTTTTCCATTTTAAAAAGAACTCATGTTATTAAATGTTTTTTCTTTATTTTTTAGAATTAGATGAATTTTTGCAAGATCTTGACGAAGATGTAGAAGGAATGCAAAGTACCATTTACGTTTTACAACAGGAATTGAGAAAATCAAAGGAAGCGTTGATGGAATTGCAACAAAGGAAAGAATTATCATCATCGGGAAATAGTAGTAACGAATCTTTCATAAAAGGCGGTGATGAAAGTAACAACGGGACGGAAAGTGCCGAGTTTCGGACAAGAAACGAATCGGAGAGATTAACAAATGGTAATCATAGTGTTTTGTGCAGTAGTCGAACTACAAATCAATCGAATAAAGTGTTAGACTCACCAAAACCGGACTCGGAAAAAAAGATTAGAACTACTACTAACAACCACGAGGAAGGTCAAAACGAATTAACGAGTGAATTAAAAAAATTAGATGAGGCTACCAACTTTGGGGATGGTAGTAGGATAGACAATGATGTGAATAGTGTCAGAAAGAGGACGTTTGACGAAAGCAGCAACGAAAGTGATAACATTCATCTCGTGAAGAAAAGCAGACGAAGCTCGGAATTGTCATTGGATTACAATGAAGATGAACTGTGTTTAATGAATGGTGAAACTAAACAAGAAAATCATTAATAGATTAATAATAGTTATTATATTATATATGTAATTTAGCCCATATTAATTTTGTTTTTCTTTTTTTTTTTTTTTTTTTTTTTTTTTTATTTTAATATTGAAGGACTGTAATTATTTTAATTCAATGTACCTAGTATTAGGTAAGAATTGCCTACAATTTATTTTAAAAAAAAAAAACATTTTAAAAAAAAATACATGATAAATATTTTAACATTATTCGAATAATAATTATTTACAAAAAAATAAATTTTTTAAATGTAATTCTGTGAATGAGAAAAGAAAAGAAAAGAGATCGGCCTAATTTTTAAATATTAAGAGAAAAGAAATTGAAATTTATAATAATAAAAAATATTTTTTTCAAATAATGCAGTTAGGCTATATTAAATTTTTTTTTTTTTAATCATTTTGAAGTTGACTCTATTTACGAATAAAATTATGAGTTATGAGTTTGTATTATATTTTATCTTAAAAAAAAAACCTTCATTTTTGTTCAATTTGTGTCGAAATTTTTTATTTTGTTTTGTTTCAGTCTGTTCCCTTTAGGAAGATTTATCGTTACATCTCATTGATTATAACGGTTAGACATTTTGGTAAAAATTTATAGAGAAAAAATGATGCCATTTTTAAACTATAATATTAATAAATCCAAATTAATGTCTTTAATTTTAATAATCATTCTCTGAATTGTATATATATATATACGTATCACCCATTATTATATTTTTATAATTTGATTTGATTTTCAGGAAATTACAAGTAAATTCTAAGAGGAAAAAATATTATGATATGAAGTTGGTTAAAATTTTAAACGTGCGAATGTCTCTGAATTTAAAGATGGAAGTAAGAACTCAACGATCGAAAGAAAATTGGTTAAATTCGACTTGGGTAAATGGTATTGACGAGTAATATAATATAAGAAAATATGTCTAAATGACAGAGTTTTTTATTAAGATTCTGTACATTTTATCAAATTAAGAAGAACATGGCGATAATTAAAGGTAATTACACTGTTTAATATTACATATAAAAAATCCGTACGTTTGGAAAAATTTTTTTTAAAATGGAAATTATAATTGATTTTCTATAAAAATATGACGTACATGGAAAATTTAAACATTTTTAATTTAATTCTTAGGTCATTGGAGAATTCAACTTGTCATTTTTATAATTTTGATTAAAAAAAAAAAAAAAAATACAAATAAATAATTTTGAATCGTGGTATTTCGCTTGTACAGTTTTATACTCTATGGTTTAAAACGGTCATGGCCATGTTCATTACGTTGACGTCGTTGGTTTGTTAAAGTATGGTAGAATTGCCCGGTTAATTTATTACAATTTTCAATAATTTTAGAATAGAATTTATAACATGTCAAGAATTAATCAGTACTTATTATGGTTTGCTAACGAAAATTGTGATTTTAGACTTCCCGTAAGTTGTAAATTAAATGTTGTGTTCATTGTTTATATGTGTTATATTTGACCGCTTTTTTTTTTTTTTTTTAGGAGATTCAATCGATTATACAATTGTACAATATTTCTGTTAAATGGATTGAAGGACCCAATGACAGCCCATTTTGGGTAGTAGAATTGTCATACGAAGATGCTTGTACAATTGCAAGTCGTTCGGTATTACTTCGAAGCGTTATCAAATTATGGGGATTTGGAAAAACTACCGACGAATTACACGACAGTATAAAAAATTATCCATCCGAATTAATTAGTTCAAAACTTAAAAGTGATTTATCATTTTGTGTCAATGTGGAAACATTTGGTAAAACATTTACTATGAAAGAAAAAGTTGATAAAATTGAACTTTTTAATTATTTGCCAGCTCAGGGACCAGTTAAACTTAATAATCCAGATGTGACACTTTATTATATTGAATATTACGGTTTGGATCCGAGCAATCCACCCGAAAATCCTTATAATTTTTATTTCGGACATTGGGTAAGAAAAATTACAATTTTTTTTTTTTTTTTTTTGATTTTTTAAAATTTTCATCGTGTAATAAATAATTAAATAATATTTTACAGGTTTGCGACGGACAAAGAAGTTTAATTAGTGATTATTCTTTAAAAAAAAGAAAATTCATTGGAAATACTTCTATGGATCCCCAACTTTCGCTTATTATGGCAAATCAAGCATTAATCAAATCCGGAGACATTGTTATGGATCCATTTGTCGGGTCAGGGTCTCTATTAGTTGCTGCCGCTCATTTTGGTGCCTACGTTTTGGGAGTAGATATTGACTTTTTAATGTTACACGGAAAAAGTAGGCCGACCAGAATACAAAATAGGGTATAAATTCCGCCATATTTGAACTTTTGTCGTTGATTAAGCAGTCATTTAATTCAAAATTTAATTTTAGTCGAAACCCAGAGGTGAAGATGAATCCATTTATCATAACATGAAACAATATGGTAAAGATAGTCAATATTTAGATGTTATTGTTGGAGATTCATCGTTGCCATTTTGGCACAGTAGGTTACAATTGGATAGTATTATAACAGATCGTAAGTTTTGTTTCGCTTGAAAAAAATGCTTTAAATTGTTAAAACTTTATAAGTTTTTTTTTTTAAATTGTGTTTTTTTAGCTCCCTATGGAATAAGAGAAGCCACTGAAAGAATAGGATCTACAAAAAATTATAAAATAAGCGAAGATCATTTGCAAGGTCACATACCATCGAAAATCGATTACAGTCTCACAGATATTTATACAGATTTGCTCAACTTTGGAGCGAAACATTTAAAATTAAATGGTCGATTGGTATCATGGATTCCATGTCATAATTCTGATTATTATTCTTCTACCATACCGCAACATCCATGTTTTAAATTAGTTTCAAATTCTCAACAGCCACTAACGAAACAAACGAGTCGAAAATTGGTCACATGGGAAAAAGTGAAAGAAGTGAAAAGTGGCGAAGGCAGTTTGGTCGTGAAACAATTTTCAGGTGGATTTAGAGATTATTATTTCAATCGTGAAGAAACTAGAAAACAAAGGAAAGCTAGATTAGCTAGAGAATATAAAGAAAAAAATTTAGACAAATATTTATTGAAAGAAAAAAACAATGTAAAAAGGTAAAATTTTTAAATATGATTAAATAAAAAAAAAAAATTTTTTTTTTCATATAATCTTTCTCTTTTTGAAAAGTGAAATTTCGTTTTGGTTTTTATTTTTTCATATTTCGATAGTTTTTCTATCTACTAAACTTTTTAGTTTTGATCGATAACAGATTCTGTTTTTTTAAATGTCATCACCTTGTTTTTTAAACATACAAGAAATTTATAAATAATTAAAACATGCCGAGTCAAATTGATAAATGCTTTTGTAAAAAATATTTATTTCAAATGAAAACAATTTAGAAGAAAACTTTCTGTTGCTAAAATGTGCTTTATTTCTCTTAGATTCTAAATTCATAAAAACTTTTTTTCGCCATTAATATCATTTAAACGATACAAACTCATTATTTAAAATATTAATTTTATTAATTAACGGAAAACTCTTATCAATTTTTGAATTTTTATAAAAAAAAACCGTTAGAAAAACGTTTTGGAAAAACCGAACAACATAAAATTTATTTAGTAAATATCAAATTGCTTCTGTCTCTTTCTCTCTCTCTCTCTCTCTTTCTTTCAGTGCGCATTCGAATTAAGTATTGATTTGTTAAGTTATAATATACGGATTTTGAACGTTGATTTTTTTTTTTCCTTAAAATAAAATTTTTGTTTTTTTTTTTTTTTTTTTTTTTTCTTTTCTTCTTTTTGAAGACATTTAAAAAATGGCTGTCGTCATTTATTTGCGGAAAAAAATTTTTTTCTAGTAAAAAAAATAAATGAATTTTAATCGGTATTATTACGATATGAATAAACCGTATATTTAGGTGATTAATTTATTTTAGGTGAGAGGATATTTAATTTTTAATTTTTTTTTTTTTTTATAATAAACAAGGATTATTAATAATAAATTATTTTATTTAATAATAATATTTTTTAAATTAATGTACTTTTTTTTTTTTTTTTTGAGAAAAAAAATTTTTTACTTTTAAGACTTGGAAAAACAAGGGTCAAGGACATTTTTACAATTTCACAAAACACAATTTTTTTAAAATCCTTTTTTTTTTTTTTTTTTTATAATCTCACAGATTTAAATATTATCAAAATATTTTTTTTTATTATTGTTAATTAATAAATTAATTTAATTAAAATAATTAATAAATTCACAATTATTTAACGGTAACCGGTACGAAAAAAAAAAATTTATTTACCGAACAGAAATTAATTTTAATTTATATTTACAGGATTGTTAATTGTTTTTAAAGATGGCTTCTACGGAAAAAAGCAACAATTTAACAATGAAATCTCCTTCATCGGATAATACAAAAAATTTTCCTTCAAATCCTTCCACGGATGTGATTGTTATGAAAAATCGACGGTATTTACAAAGGCAATTGGGTCCAGCACCATTTGCATCTTTTGAAGATCTTAGTGATGAGGTATGAAAGAAAATCTCTCTTACACAAAATTATAAGTTTTTTCTTTTAGTAATGTTTTCCTTTCTGTTAATGAGAAGTTAGACAGCCCTCCGGAAACGGCGAGAATTCCATTGCCTGGAATTAAAGAAGATCCTTCGAGTCAAGTACAATCACCCAGTTCTCCTTTACCCAACGTATCATCAATAAATATGACGGAAAAAGAGGAGCAAGGTTTAAAAGATGCCTTAAGAAGTTCTTTAGAAGCTGCTGCACCTCCTCGAATCGACATTTCCAGAGCGAGTAGTTCTTCTCAACACGAAGACAGTATAACTAGTTCTCCGGAACGAGAAAATTGCGTACGTAATTTAGGATACAAAGAAGATGGTAAGAAGATTTTTTTTATATATAATACTTACTCGTTAATTTAATTTTAAAATGGAATCACAACGCGTCGTTCATTTGTCGATTCTCCATCATTTTTTACACGTCGATTTAATTTAAAAAACACCAACGGACCGGCGCTGATTTAGTTTTAAAAATAAAATAGAAAATCGACTGTATATAAAATTAGAATCGGTGTGAAGAAAAGCGTAAAGAAGCGTTTCGTTTCCATTAGAAACACCCTCCCCCCCTCCCGAAAAAAAGGTTTTTTGAATGAAGGAAAATGTCGTTAATTTTAGGAACTATTGACCTTCGATCGAGTACTGAAGAATTAGACTACATTCAAGAGCCTGGAACCGTTGAAGAAAGTGAAGAAAAAAAAAAGCGAGAAAAAATGTTGAAAAGACAGCAACAGGTTAATTAAATCATTTACACATAATTATTATTATTATTATTTGTTTGTTTGTTTGTCACGAAGAAAGTTTTCTTTTTTGCAGGTGAAAAATTTTAGTGATACTCAAAGTCAACATGAATTCGTCGAAAGAAAAGATTCGAGTTGTAGTGTTATGAGTGATGTCGGTTTGCTTTGCATAAGTGGAAGAACAAGTAGATTGTCATCAATTGGTTCGGCAACGTCTGCTTGTTCTGGAGCCTCCGGTAATTTACCTTATTTAATTTAAGGTATGATTTTATAGTAGAAGCGATGGAAACGAAACGAAGAATTTTCATCAATTCCAGGCGCATCGCATTTATCAGTTGGTTCTCATTTGTCTGGAAGAAGCACGCGGAGTCCCTCTCCTCACAAAATGCTTTTGGAAACGTCTTTTTGTGGTAGTAAACCGGCCAGTCCGCAAAATGTCGAACAGGAAACGTCATCCCTGGTTTTATCTCTCGCTGAAAGTTCCGTAAGTAATTTTTTTGGTAATCAAATGAGCAATAAGTGCAACATCACCGTCGAGAAAGTTTTTGTGTTTATGTGAAAATGTTCACAAATAATTTTTATTTATTTATTTATTTATTAGTTCGCTAATATTTGTTTTACACTTTGTAACAAAAAAAAAAAAAAACGCGCAAAATTGTCACCATAATTTTTATCGTTTTCATATTATTTTGCTTTGTATATTCGCTTGATTAGGGGTCTAGGCCACCATCGGGGTTGCGTTCACGCAGTCCATCGCCTCATAAAATGCTTTTAGAAACTTCTTTTTGTGGCACGAAACAAATTGTTTCCGTAGACAAAATTTCAGTGAGTATTTTTTCGAAACAATCTCAAAAACTAATGAAAATCAGTGAGAATGATAATGATAATATATGTTTCTTTGTAGGAAAATAACATGCTTTCACCGAAATCGGCCAAAAGAAGCAAACAAAAACCGAGTTCCTCCGCCATAGTCATTGAAGCGGAAATAACAAAATCAAAACCTCAAATTTCGGTACGGGAAACGGTGCCGATAAAACAAATACCGGACAAAACAAAACCGGAAGTGGAAAAAGTAAAACAGAAAATAGAGAGAATGGAAAATGCGTATGACGTCATAACGGTTGCAAATAAATCAAAATCCAAATCGAGTCGAAGTAAAAGTGAAAAGCAAACTAGTGCGAAAAAAGTCATTTCGCTCAGAGATCTTCCCGTAGATGAAATATACATACCGTTAACGGGACCGGAAGTTGATTTCGAGGAAATAATTAGAAAAACGTCACCGAACGTAAAAAAAAAATCGTCGGAAAAAACATTTTCAAATGATGAAATCATCATACCACTCACGAGTCCTACTTTCGATAAGAGCATTTCAAAATCACACGCGAAAAAAGGTTCATCATCATCATCATCATCATCATCTAATAAAAAATCACCGGAAACCGGGTTCAAAGAAGAATCGCGTTCGAGAGAAGGATATAAAAAGAAAGAAATGAAATACGAAGTTTGCGAAGATGGCTCAATTTACATTCCTCTTCGTTCTCCAGATGATGATGATGATGATAAAAAAAGAAATAAAGTCTTTGAGAATGACGTCATAAATGTTGAAGATGATAAACAAATAAAAGGAATCAATTTAAATTTATCTTCCGTCGAACCGGAAGTGAAAAAAGAAGAGACGCGATTATCAAACACTTTACCTTCCGGTAGTAAATCAGGTAAATATTATAATAATTAATTAATTTTTTTTTTTTTTTTTTTTTTCGACTTTAAAAAAAGACAAAAATGGCGCGAAATTTTCGGTCGGTGACAATAATAATTATTTAAAAGAAAGAAAAGACAACTCACGATTTGTTTAACAATACAATGTATTTTACCGTAAGCAAAGGATGACACGTTTCAGAAATGATTTCTGGAGGTTCGAGAACGCCATCACCGGGGTCTTCCTTATCTAGAAAAAATTCTTTCGTCAGCTCATTGTTTAAAAAATCAGATCAAAGTTCCGGATGTGTTGTTACATTCGACGTTCAAAATGGCGGATGTCAAGGAAGGAAAAAATCAGGAGGAGGAGGAGGAGGGGGAGGAGTCACTCCGATCAATTCTGGATCATTAAAGGATGACACAAATGACGGTTGGTTTTAAATAATGAATTTATTTGTTAGTTTTTTTTTATTTAATATTTTTTCGTCGTCGTGATATAAGCATCGTAGTCATTCCCAACCATCTTCTCTCTCTCTCTCTCTCTCTCTCTCTCTCTCGCTATCTATCTATCTATCTATCTTGCTCCCTCGCTTAAAACGTAATAAGAGAAATTATTAGAAAATATTTGCTAGAATGAGCCTTAAAAGCTTTGACAAAACTTTTATTAGTTTTTGAGATAGTTGAAACAATTTTGACTAAATAATAATAATAATAATAATAATAATAATAATAATAATAATAATAATAATAATAATAATAATAATAAATCTGCGTTTAACGCAAGCATGATGAGTAGAATACATTAAAAAAAAAAAAAAAAATTAAGCCTAAGTGTAAGCCTTAGCTATCTTATTACTGTTGTTATTATTATTATTACTATTACTTTTTTTCCCGCTATTTTTAATTTTTTAAAATAAAATTTGATATAAAGAGGGTTTGCGAATAAGAATCACGACACGAGATTTAATGGGTAAGTCTCCGCCATTATCACGTCATGTAGTAGATATAATTCGATAACGAACGGGGGGGTGGGTGGGTGATGGGGAAAGGGGGAGGGGCGGAAAATAAAAACATTTGCATTTGTATTTTAATAATTATTATTACTCAATCAGGTTTGTCGGGAAAAAATGAGGGTCGTAGTAGTAAAGAACGTCAATGTCATTCTCCGACGGGTAAAAAAAATGTATTTTCAAATATATTCGGAAAGAAAAAAATCATAGATGAAAAAAAAAAAAAAAAACAAATTGGGGATAAGAAAACGGATGATTTATTATTATCATCATCATCATCATCATTATTATCATCATCATCATCGTTCCGCCACGTTCTGGAATCCGAAAAGAAAAAAAAAAAAAAATTTTCCGACGAAGGTATATTGAAACAAATAGCTTTGCTAAAAAAGAAAGATGGCGGCTTTTTTTCTTTTGTAACCGTGCTAATAATTTGCTTCTTTCCCTTTGGCTTATTCGCAGGAGATTACGTCATCATACCGCTTAAGGATCCGTCAGATACCAACGTGACGTCAGGTATGTGGTCCGTCCCTCTCTTTAAATTCATACAAAATTTACAATTGATTAGTTTATTATTATTATTATTATTTTATTCGAGAGATTATCGAAGCTGTGAAAATTTTTTAACGTCCTTCGGGAAAATTCATTTAAAGTGTTTTCTTTTAGATGTCGAAGAAGTGGAAGCGACGGTCGTTTTGGAAAATGTAGAAAAAAGGGAAAAACGTCCAACGTCACCAATCGTAATTTTAGAAAGATCGGAATCGCCAAAAATGATAAAGTGTAAAAAGGAGGTGGGAGTGGGAGTGGGAGTGGAAGTGGGAGTAAAAGTGGGAGTGGTGGAAAATGACCGTCGGGAAATTTCATTGACTCGTAAAAATTCAAAAGGGGAAAAATCGAACGAAGAAGAAATGAAAAATGAAATCGATCGAAAATTATCCATCGAATCTATTTCGAATTCTAATTCTAATAATAATAATAATAATAATAAAAGCTCAGGAAATATAAATAAGGAAGAATTTCATGAAAAAGAGGAAAAGTCGGAAAAACGGGATAAAAGTGAGTTTATATCATAAATGCATATCAAACGTTTGGAAAATTTTTTTTTAATAAGAATTTTCCGTTTTTTTTTTTTTTCAAGTCGAATCGGAAAACGTTGGGATAGAAGATGATGACGTTTCACGAACGGTGAAATCTTTTGACTTGTCCGAAAGTGTGGGGGAACCTTTAGGGGAACCCCAGGAGGAGAAACATGACGTATTTAAAATTCAATTCGAAGATAAAATAAAAACGGAAATGAAGGTTCCCGCGGGTGAAATTTTAAATAAAGAAATAATGAAAAGGCCGGAAGTAGAAGAAGTAATGACGGTTACGTCGGATGGTGTTAGAAAGCTTAAATTACCACCGGAACCGGGAGATTTGGAAGACGATCACGAAAGAAAAGGTTTAGTTAATCAGGAATCATTCGAAGATGAATTGCCTTACGTTCCAACCACTCTGCCTCAAGAAAGGTTTAAAAGTTTTGATTTTTTTTTTTTTTTTTGTAAAAAATGTTTTTTTTTTCGAAAATTTTGCTATAGTTCAAGGTATCCACGGTTAAATCATTTTGGTTTTTCTTTGCAGATCTTTAGGCGTACCAATCGTACCCGTTAAACATCGCATGGCGGAAATTAAAACGTGTCCGATCGAAAGGCCCAGAAGTACGACACCGATAAATCCGACAACTCTGGAAGATTTTGTTAGTTCGAAAGAATCGTCCGCGACGGCCGTGAGCGAAGATGAAAAAATGAAAATATCTCTGCCCAAAGATGATGCCGGAGGATTGAAAAATAAAAGTCCGAGAAAAATCAGTGCCAAAGGTGGTAAAACGTGGTTCGAATTTGCGGAAGCGGGGTTGCAACATCCGAAAACGGATGGTAGGAAAAATTCAATAAAAACATCGTCGTCGTCGTCTTCTCCTCCTCCTCTTCCGCCACGATCATCGCCGCCATTTGTTTTATCATCGAGCGCACCACCGGCCACGACGTCGTGGATAAATTTTGAAAAATTACCGGAAAAGAAAAAACAACCTAAACGGATAACAACCGTGCCAGCGTTGAGGAGTTCGAACGTGAAAGACGGTACGTACGTCCTTAACGCAATCCGAGGAACGCACTTAACCGTTCCCACCCACCCCCCCACCCCCCACGAAAAAATGATGGAAAATCATAGAGATAAAATTATTTTTAGGAAATAATAAAATGGAATCATCGACGGGAACAAAAAATGGAAACGCTGTTTACAATTACGTGTCTCCGGAAGACTGTCAATGCGAATGTCACGATCATAATAATACTTTTCCACATTCAAAGGAAAATGAAACGACAGAGAAAGGTACGAATGGAAAATCTTGATACACAGATAAATAAAATTCTTCCCTTTTTCTTTTTTTTTTTTTTTTTTTTTGTCCAAAGTAGTGTCCGTCGACAGTTAGTTTGTGTTTTAGAAGTTTTATAACCCTGTCTGTCCGCCCCCCGCCTCCCCCCCCAGTACCTATGGGTTAAAAGTGCTTAAAAAGTAGGTTCCCACCCCCCTCCCCAAATCGAATTTTCCAAAGCGTTTCAAATTCGTTGTTATTATTATTATTTGTTTAAAAAAAAAAAAAAAAAATTTAATTCGAAATTGTTTAATAATAAAGTGTTAATAATCAAGTGGTAAAAAAACAAAACGAAATATGTGAGTTTAACTTAAATTATTTTTATCGATTTTTAAATAAGAGCTTATTAATATAATAAAAAGAAATCTTTCAATTGGTTGTTTTTACTTACACACGCGCGCGCGCACTCACACACTCACACACACACATTATTAAATATTATGAATTACGGTTGATATTTTGTAGATAAAACGTTAAAAAAATAAATAATAATAATAATGATTATTATAATTATTATAAAGAAAAAAAAAATTGATTTTTAAGTAGTTGTTATTGCAAATTTGTTTTATTTAACAAAAAGGAATTTCAAATTGTAAATGTGATAATTAAAAAAATAACACACAAAAGAATACACATAAAGTGCACCTTTGAAATTATTTAAATGAATAACGGAAACCCCCCCCCCTCCCCTCCCCCCCATTTAATAAATTATTAAATATTTAATATAAATTATTATTATTATTATATAATAAATTTTTTTTGTTTATATTAAAATATTAACAACAAAACAGAAACTGTGTGTCAATATTATTTAATTTATCTACAAAAATAAATTTATTATTATTATTATTATTAATGTTATGATGAAAATAAGAAAAAGAAAAAGAAGTTAATAAAATTGTTTTAATTATTAATTAATTAATTAATTAATTATTAATGAAATTAATTTATTTTTAATGGTGGTGGTGGTGGTGGTGATGAAATTGTTTTTTAATTAAATTCCTTTTTACGAAAACATAAAATAATCGATCGTAGGATTAAATAACAAATTTTCACAATTGGAAAATTTTTACAAATATGAAAATATAGATAAAAGGATGGATGAAGGCTCAGGAAGAAAGGGAGAATGTAAAAATTGTCAAAATAATGATAATAATGATGAAGAAATACCACTTTTGAATGAGGATTCCGATGTTGAATATGATGACGACGATTCGTCGTCATCATATTCAACTAAAAAAAATGATTATTATTATTATTCCGATGGAATGGATGAATCCAAGAGGTAAAGAAAACAAATAAATTATTATTATTATTATTATTATTTTTTTTTTAATTGATTTTTTTTTTACAGCGAAGGTATCGATTATCCTGATAACGCGAAACAATACGAAGATAATAAATTAATAAATGATAATAATTATTGTACGCCATATTTAAATGTGAAACCGTTTGGAATGGATTTAAGTATTGATAGTAATCATAGTAGTCTCACATCTCAGGTTTGTGTCTCCCTTTTATTTATTTGACTCCATTATTGATTAATTTTATATTTTAATGAAAGTTTAAATAATTTTTTTTGTTTATTATTTCAGGATGATTTACAATCTCCGAGTGATACGAATAATTAATATTTAATTAAATATATATATATATCAGGGTAAGCAATATTATTTATATATTTATTTTTTTTCTTTATGTCTTAAACGCGTACACGCGCATGCGCACACGCATACAAAAGAATATTTCTTATATGTATTGGGTTGGTAAAAAAGTAATTACGGATTTATTATTAATTATGTAAAATTATTTTTATCTATTATCATTATGTTCATTATACAGTAGTTTTTGTGTGGTGGTTAAAGATGCGGGGGGAGGGGGTTGGGGATTATCGTGGTTAAAGACAATTCTTCCTTAACTATTGGCTATCTCCGGTCGTTTTTCTTGAATGGAATTATTTAAATTAGTCAATTGTCGAATGTAAACCTCTGATTTCGTGGCAGCAGCAGTTCGAAGTACCTTTGTAATCCCACAATAATGATAACTGGTACCTTTTTTTAATTAACGTCAATCTTAGAAGTGTTGGTGCCTGTTTCTCTTGTTCAGACCAGGATCTTTTCCTCAAAATGGTGTCATAGACAACCCACTTTTCATCTCCGGTGACCATTCTTACACTCCCCAAAGTTGAACATCAAGCTTCTTTTGGTACCCAAGACGCCGCAGATGGTTGTCGACGCACGTATGTGACACATCTAGCTTCTTTACAATGTCCTTAGTCGAACTATGCCGATCATAATCAATGAGGGCCTTTATTTGGTCATCATCGACCTCTACTGGACCCCCAGAGCGCTCCTCTTTTTCCAAAGGAAAATCTCCATTCGCAAACCAGTTTTGACACTGCCGTTCTATTGAGGCTTCATCCCCTTACACACCCCACAACTTTTTATCGGCTTGTGAAGCATTACCACCCTTTGAAAAATAAAAAAGTAAAATGTGGAGGGTATGTTCACTTTGGTTCCCCATGTACGTATTCAAAAACATGAACAAATAATCTGTTGGTGGAAAATTCGTAATTACTTAATTAACCAACCCAATACATTCAGGGATAAATATCATATAAATACGGTTGTCCATTTTTTCTTTTTGAACGTTTTACGTGACGTTTTGTTTGTCTCTATCGATGACGTAACAAAAAAAATAAATTAATCGAACCCATTTAATAATAATAATAATAATAAATATATATTCTTTATCATTTAACAATAATATAACAAAAAGATGACAATAATATAAATATTGTATATCTAATTAAAATTAAATTTTTACCTCGTATAATTATAATAATTTTCTATAATTTAATACATTCAATTTCGTCTCTGTTAAAATCCGTTCTTAAAAATAACGTTTTTTTTACGTCGGACAATTGAAGTTTATCACTTCCGGCCGCGTTGTACCATTCCGACACTTCGGATAATCTTTCAATGTTTAAAAGTGTTGAAATTTGCGACAACCTTGAAAATTTATCCCTTATCGACCAGGATGTCGCATTTGTTAAAAAACCTACGAGTGCGCGAACTTCTTTGTCGAACACTAGACCGCCGAGTCTGTTGAAACGAGATTTGAAAACGACTTTTTCAAAATGTCGCGTTATTTCGACCGTTACGAGATTGACGAAAGTGTCGTAATTGTTCGACGTCAAAGTGTCTTTAAAAGAATTTAAAAATTCGTCGATTTTCGATATTAGTTTTCTCACGAAGGGTTCGTTTGCTTCGTAACTCGTAAATTCATCTTCGGTGAGTTCGTGATTGTTTTCCGTGAACGAAGCAAACCACGAACTTATCCTCGGTTTTATCGCGCTTTCTTTTAAATGTTTCATACCGTAATCGATTATCGATGATGTTATGCTCGTGGCACCGGAAAAAAGTTCGGATAAACAAATGGCGACTTTTTCTTTATCCTTTTCGGTCAATTGCGGAAACGAACGTATTATTTCTTCCGTTACGTTCGATTTTAAAGTTTGAAGGTATTCGAGTGTCACGTCCGCGTTGTTTAAATATGCCAAAAATGATTTCGCTTTGATTTCCGGATCGATTTGTAAACGTACGGACGTGTAGGCTTGAGCAACGTCTAAATACCCCGTAGAATATCCTTGTTCCAATTGTTTTTTTAATACGGGACAATATTTTGTTTCCAATAAAGTTCTCACGTTGTTTATAACCGAACAAACAACTTCTATGCTTCCGCTTGTCGCTGCTCGTCTTATGGATTTACGAAGTATGAAAAACACGTCGTCCACCATGCTGGATACGTTACTGTCTTCCAACAGAGCATCCATGGCGACAGCTTTAAAAACGCTTTCCTCGGTAAAATATCTTTCCAATTGAACGTAATAATCTAAAACTTCTTGCATTTTACAATTTAAATTGCAACATTTCATCAACGTTTCGATTTTATTAAGTAATTCGGGATCTTTTGAATTTTTGCTTAATTTTCTTTTAACAAATTTAAAATACAAATCTACTTTATAGTGCATCAAAGTTAATTCTCCAAGAAGTATGTCAAGGGATTTGGGATCGATTTTTTCCAAAGATTTCACGTGAGTATTATATTCGTTAACTTGTTTTATTTTATTTTTTAAATTTCTGTGATTGATCAATTCGTTAACTATTTTACTCGCTTGATTGTCACATTCTTGCTGGACATATTTAAAAAAGGTTATCATCTTATCCTGGCCGTAGTATGTGTCTACCAAAGGTTGATGAGTTTCAATAACTCTAGCCGTACCTTCCAATAGCAGAGTTATGGTATCGGCAAAAATGATATTAGGCTTTAAATCTGTTTTTGCAGTGTCAAGAGCGACTTTAAGGTTTTTTTCAGCTGTCTGTCTCAATTTGGATGATAGGTATAATGAATATTCTTTCAATCCTTCATCGTGCATGTTTAAAAGGGGATAAATTTTAAAAAATCTTTCAATCGAAGCCAAATCTTCATCTATTATGGCTTCGTTAAATTTTTTAGCGACAACAACTCGTAAATGCTCTGCAACTTCTTCTAATAATGTAAAAGAATTATCTACAGTTGTATGATCCTGAGAAATATTGTCTGCCGTTCTTTTTAATACATTTTGATCAATTGAAAGAACTCTGTGAACGTGTGCAGCTGCTTTTTCATAATCTTCATTTTTCAGAGCTGCTTTAACTCCTTCGCTACATAACTGAAGATCTAATAAATCATGAACTCTTTGCTGACATTCAGATACAAGCGATCTAGTTTTATCTAATCTTCTAACTTTTTCACTAACGTTTTCAGCAATCGATGCCGTGTGTGTGACATTTTTTGACAATTCTTCTGCTTCACTATTTAATTCTTGCAATTTAGGAATAATTTTCGTTATGCTTTTTAATTTAGATTCTAAAACGAATTGTCTAGAAACGTAACTGTCTAACTGCTTGTTAATCAATTCTTTTTGTTCATTTAATTTATCGAATGATTTTTGAATGTCTTCTTCTGTGAGTAAATCCATTTGTCAACTTACTCTTAACTTTATAAAGGAAAGATAAATTTTAATCTTTCAAATCGTAAATATTATTATTTTTATTCCCGTACTCATGACAATTATTGCAGTGAATACTCCATTATAAATAATATTTTTTATCTATTTATTTACTTATAATATAATTTTTTCAATAAGTTAATCTTACTTTTAAAATAACTACTACCTTAAGATTACTTTTAAAATTAATTTCATATGAGATAATATATGAAATACGATAAAATAATAATTTTTATTAAAATAAGTATTTACAAAATACGTGTTTTGATAATTTTTTTTTTTTTTCTTGCTTGCTAGCGACATAAATTCTACTTCCACGTCTAGGTAATATATAACCAAAAGTTTTTTTACATTAGTTAAAACGGCTTTTTTTGTGAATTGCTTGTATTTATCAAATACTTCGAAATGTAGAAAAGATATTCTATTATTATCTTATTATGAAGCATTTTAAAATCTTATTAAATTTTTAATTTTTTTTAATTTTTATTTTCAAATTTTACATAAATTTTTTTTGTTTCAAATAACTACTTGGTACCTTGTATGTATTTTATAAGGTAGACTAACTGAGTGAGTAAATTATAATTTCTTAATTTTTAACGTTTTTATGTTTTTTAGTGCGATGTGTAAATTACATCCGTTCTTGTTTTTTTTTTTATTTCAGAGTTTAAAAAATGGGTGTCGATTTCGATGTGTTAGAATTTTGTAAAAAATTAAAAAATTCTAAAGCACCACCTTATCAGTGTCCAGTTGCAGAATGTGGTCGTACTTATAGGAGTTTATGTGGTATGCAATATCACCTAATGAATTTCGATCATAATAATCCTGGTTCTTTCTTAACTCCAGCAAAGCATAAAAAGAAGGGACGTTCTAGTCAGAAACCTCCTACTAACACATCAGAATTATTAACTCCTGTCATAAGAGAAGTTCTTACTTATGCAGAAGCACAAAAAATTGTCGAATTTGAAATTGATAGTCGAGCTGTTAGGGTGGAAATAAATGAACCGATTCCTGTCATATCAAAACAAGAATATGATAAATTATATTCAACAATTGAAAGTAGAAGTGCTAGAAATAACAATAGGAATGATATGATTTCTAAATCGGAAGAATCAAAGTTAAAATTGCCAGAGCCGAGTTTTGTTATCCTGGATACATACAATATTCCCGATGCACCACCAAGACCAAATTCATATATCAGGTGAAATAGTCAAGTATAATATTGATTTAGATAATAAATATTTTTTAACAATTAATGATACTAATCTTTATCTTTTAGATTTATTGAGAGGTCTCCTGATGAACTAGATGGCGAGGTAGAATACGATTTAGATGAAGAAGATTGCGCCTGGTTGAGTATAATAAATGAAAGAAGATCAGAAGCTGGCTTGCCTCCAGTGCCTGTTGATACCTTTGAGTTACTAATGGATAGACTTGAAAAAGAATCTTATTTTCAGGTAGGTTTGTTAGTTTAATGAATGCTATAATCCACCATTAAATATTTTGTATTAATTACCTATTACTAAACTTTTTTGCAGATGGCAAATAGCAAAAGTACAGAATGTGGCATGGCTGATGATGATGCAGTATGTTGTATATGCATGGATGGAGAATGTCAAAATACAAATGTTATTTTATTTTGTGATATGTGTAATTTGGCAGTTCATCAAGACTGTTATGGAGTGCCATATATACCAGAAGGACAGTGGTTGTGCAGGTGAGAAAAATTTAACTGAATTTCATATTAAAATTTCATTCGAATTAGAAGTTTAAAATTATTATTATTATTATTACAGGAGATGTCTTCAATCACCTTCGAGAGCAGTGGATTGTGTTCTTTGTCCTAATAATGGTGGTGCTTTTAAACAAACTGATCGTGGTCATTGGGCCCACGTAGTTTGTGCTTTATGGATACCAGAAGTGCGCTTTGCTAATACTGTAAGCATTTTACGTGCATTTTTGGAGCCAAAAAAAAAACCTTGGTGTATTTATAATTTCAAGTAAATTAATTTTCAGGTATTTCTTGAGCCTATAGATTCTATTGAAACAATTCCTCCGGCACGATGGAAGCTGACTTGTTACATTTGTAAACAAAGAGGTGTTGGAGCTTGCATTCAGTGTCATAAGACCAATTGCTATGCCGCGTTTCACGTGACTTGTGCACAACACACAGGTCTTTTTATGAAAATGGACACGGTTAAAGAAAACTTTAACGGTAAAAACATTAATAATATTAATTAATTTCATTTAAGGTTTTTTTTTTTTACTATTGAAAAACCTATCATTTTCAGCAAATAGTGATCACGGTCCCATCATGGTACAAAAAACAGCTTACTGCGATGTTCACACTCCACCCGATGCCGAACATCGTCCTCGCATTCCTCAAACTCCAGTATTACCAACATCACCCAAAGAAAAAGATGAATCGAAGCAAAAAATGAAGAAAGCTAGAAGAATTCTTGCTAAGAAAAGATCTGCCGTACCTGTTATATCTATTCCCACGATTCCGCCCGATCGGTAAATTCATTTTGTATATATAATAATAATAACGTTTAGGTACATTTTTTAAATTTTAATTTTAAAATCGTAGAATACAAGAAATAGGATCCCTCGTAACTCTAGCCAAAAAATCACAATTTATTCAAAGGCTAATAGCTTATTGGACTCTCAAGAGACAGTTTAGAAATGGCGTTCCATTATTACGTCGCCTTCAGAGTACTCATTTGGCGAGAAGAGAAGATGGAAAACTTATCACCGAATTGGTATGATTGAAGGAGTTTAAATTTTTGAACGTAAAACAATGCGATCCATGTTACTGATGGATGTTTATCATTACAGGGTGAATTTTATCATCAAATAAAATACCTTCAATGTCTTCGTCAGGATTTGGAGAAAGCTCGTTTGTTGTGCGAATTGGTTAGAAAGCGCGAAAAGAAGAAAAACGAGTATACGAAAGCTAAAGAAGCTTGCTCCATGGTTGAACTCTGCCCTATGAAATTTTTTTTGACGCGAGTTTGGGAATTGATTTCCGCCAAGGACACGAACGCCATATTTATGGAACCGGTGGATTTAAAAGAAGTTCCCGATTACACGGATGTTGTGAAGCAACCGATGGATTTGTCGACGATTAAATTGAAAATAGATAATTTCGAATATTCATCCATCGACGACTTGGAAATGGATTTTAACTTGATGATATCGAATTGCTTGGCGTACAACGCGAAAGATACAATTTTTTATCGGGCAGGACTTAGGATGCGGGATCAGGGAGGAGCGATAATAAGAGCGGCTCGAAAAGATGCCGAAATATCTGGATTGGATGAAGACACCGGTCTTCTTTTAGAACCCGGAACAATAAAGTCTAGCAAATTGTCGGAAGAGAAATTGGTCAAAGAAATAGATTCTCAACTGGAAAGTCTTAAATCTGATGATTTGGTGAGTCGGAATTTGTTTGTCAACCGGCTCGAACTCAAACAATGATAATAATAATAATTAAATTTTGAAAATTTTTAGGCTTTGGAAGAAAGAATGATCAAGCTCATGAATTTAGCCGATCAAGCGCAAATATTAAAACAAGGTCTCGCCAAGAATAAACGATGCAGGTTAATTAAAATGGAAATGACGAAGCTTAAACGTCAAGTCGCCATGTTGAACTCGTCAAAAAAGCTAGAAGCTCAAAAAATGCAACAGGAAGTGGTGGTGGAAGAGAGTAGGAGTGAAAGTTACGGTATAAGCACCGATAGTGATAGTTCAAGTAGTGAAAATAAACCTTTGATGTCGCCTTTGAAAAGGAAATCGGGGAAAAAAAGACTTATGCGTAAGCGGCTACGAGGAGGAGGTGGAGGAGGAGGAGGAGGAGGAAGAGGAGATTCGTCAAACGATGAATCGGATGCAAAACCCATGAAAGTTGATGAATCTTTGGACAGTAGTAATTTAACAGATGCCAAAGTTTCTTCTCCTTTTAAATCCGAACCTTCGACACCGGTGAAATCGACCAGCGTTATAAATGGTGATACGGCCACCGTATCTCCTTCTGGAGTGAACAGGCGAACTGCCGTTTTATTCACGAGAAAGGCACAAGCAGCCGCATCAGCTTTTAAAAAACCTGATATTTCGTCTGGATTGGCGTAGGTTTTACTATTAATAATAATAATTTGTTATCATGCGTAACTTTTTATTTAAAAGGAATAATTTTTATTAATTAGTAGCCCTAGCAGTCCGGGAAAAAAAAGAAAAGGAAGACAAGGTAGACCTAAAAAGAATTTGAGTTCAAATTCGAGCAAGTGCCAAAACGTTCCCGGTGGTAGAGACGAATTATCGATTCCCTGTTCCGACAGTTTTAGAGTCTACAGATCGGGAGGAGGTATTTTATCATCATTTCACCACGATAAATTTTACCCGTTCGAAAACTTTTCCTTTTGTGATAACGTTTCCTTTCGTTTTCAAGACATACCGCAGGAAACGGACGAAGACACGCAGACTGAATCATCTTGCTCCAGTTGTTCCTCGGGGAGCGAAGGAAGTTCTAGTTGTTCCTCTGGGAGCGAAGTAGAAATGGAAAATAATGCAAATTCATCGTCCGATAATGAAGACGAGGAAGAAGAAGAAGATGACGACGATGACGATGATGATGATGAAGATGACGATGACGATGAAGAAGAAGATGAGGAAGATGACGACAATGGTAATGATTCGGTAAAAGAAGAAGAATCTTCTCCGGAACATGTTTTGGAACCTCTCGATTTAGTTTGGGCTAAATGTCGGGGTTACCCCTGGTATCCGGCATTGGTAAGAATATTTAAAAAATTTTTTACTCTCATTTTTTAGTTTTTGCTTCCTTTAAAAAAACCGTTAAATTTCAGATAATTAATCCGAAAATGCCGCGAAATTACGTTCACAACGGCGTCCCTATTCCAGCTCCTCCAGCAGACGTTTTAGCACTTGCCAACAGTTATACAGAACCTGTTTATCTCGTTTTATTTTTCGACACGAAACGAACCTGGTAAAAATGAATTTTCACAAAAAAAATTTTTTTGTCCAGTTCGAACACGATTCCAGGATAATGATCATTTCCTTTTTTTTTTTTTTTTTTTTCAGGCAATGGCTTCCGAGAAACAAATTAGAATTATTAGGGATTTCATCGGAAGTCGACGAAATGAAATTAACGGAATCCAGGAAACCGACGGATCGTAAAGCCGTACGAAAAGCATATCAGGACGCTCTCCTTCATCGATGTCAAGTCGATCAGAATAAAATTCCCAATCAGGGAACGAGTTGAAAAATTTTGTCTCATTGCTAACTTTAAAAAGACAGAAGAAGCAGAAGAAGAGGAGGTCAATTATAATTAAAATTATAAAGGAGGAGGAGGTTTTATTTTCCGGTTCGTTATGAACGAACAAAAGAAATAATCAAACCAAATCGGTTGATTGTTTAAAAACAAAACGTGTTTGTCGTAAAACAAACAAACAATTTTCCTATTGTTTCGCGGCGGAAGTGATGGAAATGATTCGCCGAAACGGAAATGGTTGCGCAAAATTATTATTATTATTATTATTATTATTATTATTTTCTTTATCTCTTTCTCATCCAAACGGTTTTCTTATTTTCATTCGTTTGTTTGTTTGTTTTAAATTCGTTTGTAGGTATTGTTTGTTATTTAATATTAATAATTAACCGTCCAAAAATTTATTTTTCAGTATTTTTTGTCGGGGAGAAGTAAAATGACGCGTATGGTCGTAACTTTTGTACATTGAAACGAATATTTTTAGGTTTTTTTAATTTATTATTAATTTAATAAGAAGGTCGAATAATGTTAATAATAATAATAATAATAATAATAATGATGATGATTTTCCAATAATTCTTTTTTTAAATGTTTTTGTTTAATAATATTGATATTGATGATGATGATTATTATTATTATTGTAATGATAATAGTAATTAATAAATATTTATTAAACAAACAAAAAAAAAAAAAAAAAAAGTTTTATTATTCCGTTTTTATTAAAATTTTTGGAAAAAAAAAAAAAAAAAAAAAAAAAAACGTAAAGGGGATAGAATAATAATAATAATAATAATAATAATAATAATAATAATAATAATAATAATAATAATAATAATAATAAAAAGAAGAAAAAGAAAAAAAATTAAAAATTTTTTTTTTTTTTTTTTTTTTTTTTTTAAATTGTTGGAAATGAGATTCGGTGAAATTAATCAAAAAGTTGTTGTTGTTGTTTTTTTTTCTTTCGTTTGTTTGTTGTTTGTTTGTTGTTTCGTTTCGTTTTGTTTGTTTGTTTGTTATTTTTTATAATGCGTTTTTTGTTTGGGTGATGTTTTCTTTTTCGCCGGACTCGTTTTCTTTTTCGTAGTTTTAGATTTGGAATCGAATTTATCAGATGTCTCAGGTTCAGGTTTACAATTTTGATTATTATTATTATTATTATTATTATTATTAGTTTTAGTTTGACCCTCTGTAAATATGTAACATTGTGGATTTTTAACATTGTTGACGGGCGTGTTGTCGGTTAGTTTAAGAGAATCGATTTCTTTAATTGCTTTTTTCACATCATCAACGGAATTGATTTTTTGCATTTCCCAATTGTTCATGACAATTTCAGAGCCTTTTATCAAAACGTGAGTGTTGCAATCTTTCGTTATGACCAAACTTCTTTCTACGGCCATTTTCTGTTGCGAATTTTGCGTCGTTAAATGAATTCTATTGAACACGATTCGTCCGCTTGAAACACCCGAAGTCCAATTATGTGGAAGTTTAACGGTTTTATATATTTCTTTTATTTGTTCGAATTTACCTATTTTCGGTGAGTCTTTTATATTATTATTATTATTCGTTGATTTATCCATTTTTGAATTATTATCATCTTTATCTTGTTTTTTAGATTTTGTACTTTTTCGCGGTACCTTTTTTTTTTTTTTTTAAAAAAAAAAAAAACGAAAGGAAATGTTTAATTTTTTGTTGTTGTTGTTGTTGGAAATTTAAAACACAAATTTTATTTATTTATTTAAACTTACGGAACTTTTGGGTGTTGTGACTTTTAATGCCGAGGAACTTGTCTTTTTTTTTACTTTAAACTTCTTAATTTTCTTTAAATGTTTTTCGAGAGGAGGTTCGTTTTTTTTCTTATCGAGATTTGCTTTGAATTCGACAACAGAATCGACCCATTTTTTTACATCTTTTTGAACTTTATCTACCTGAATAAAATTTTTATTTATATAACCCTCGCGATATATATACTAAAAAAAAAAAAATTTTTTTATTTTATTTTTTATTTTATTTATTGTTTCCTTACGGTTTTTCTATCGGATGATAAATTTTGTTGAAAACTTGATACGGTTGTGTTCATTTTAATTTAGTTATTAATTCCAGACGAATCCATTCATTAATTAATTAATGTTTGTACAGAAAATTTTTTGTGTTTTTCAATTTTTAATAAACATTTAGAGAAAAAAAAACAAAAGAAGTTTAGTTTTTTTTTTTTTTTTTTTTTCTCTCTATTCAAAAAAAAAAGGGGAGGTTTATGCAGAAAAAAAATTAAAAACGAATTTATAAAACGTTTCGAGAAACAATTTAATAAAAAAAAAAACTTCCGATTATTAATTATTGCGGCAAAAATTTTTCTTTTTTTTTTTTTTTTGTTGAAATAATTTTAAGTTGGCAGTACCGGATGTAATCGTCACAACGCTCTCAGTAGTCTGCCATTACTCATCGCTAGTGGTCGTGTTAAGCGTTTAATTTTTAATTTTAATTTTAATTTTTTTTTGAGTTTTAAAATGCTTAATAAAAATATAATTTTATTCGATCAATCTAAAAAAGAAAATTATCGATTAAATACACATTTTAAAACGATTCATAGAAAATTAAAAGACGATTGGAATGTTATAGTGTAAGTATTTAATTTTTCAATATCCAAATCACATTTTATCGATTTGATTTAATTAATTTATTTTATTATTTATTATCTTTTATTTAGTAACAAAGAAAAAATATCATCGTCGATATTGGAAAATATTAAACTGGTCGTAATCACGGGTCCAAACGATAATTTCACTGAACATGAAATCCTTTGTCTTAAATCATTCATAGAAGATGGCGGAAGCGTTTTGGTTACCCTTGGAGAAGGTGGAGAAAAATTATATCAAACTAATATTAATTTTTTATTAGAAGAATTTGGAATTATGATTAATAGTGGTAAGTAATAATTTATTACTTATTTAATTTTTTTTTTTCTATTTATTGTCATATTGTCTCTTTACATTAATTTTTTACTTTTTTTTTTTTTTTTTTTGTAGACTGCGTCATGAGAACACATTACTATAAATATTTTCATCCGAAAGAATGTCTCATCTCGAATGGAATATTAAACAAAGCGATAACAAAAAATGCTAACAAGTATAATATTGATGACGACAGTGAAAAATGTGAAAACGAGTGAGTATACTTCATAATTATCGATATACACAGTTATTTATTGGGTTGGCCAAAAGGTAATTAGGAATTTTTTAAGAAAACAAAAAGCGATTTATTAATTATGCAAAATTATTTTTATCTATTATATTATGTCCATTATTATTAGCGACCTTTTGACATTTTTCGGGTAGTATCATTATTTCCTTTTTTTTTCATAAAACTCTTTAGTTTTAGGTCCAATGCAGTACGATTGACCTCATTGTCGTTTTTGGAATTTTTGTCCGTTCAAAAAATTTTTTTAGGAATCGGAAAAAATGATTCTCACTTCGAGTTAGCTCCAGTAGTTTTTGTCCAGTGGCTAAAGAGGGGGGAGGACCTGGCATTATTATCGTGGTGAAAGACAATTCCTTTGCTATTGGCTAGTTCCAGTCGTTTTTCTTGGATGGTATCATTTAAATTTGTCAATTGTCGAATGTAAACCTCTGAATTTATGATCTGATTTCGTGGCAGTAGTTCAAAGTAGACTGTACCTTTGTGAACCCACCATAATGATAACTGGTACTTTTTTTTTGGTTAATGTCAGTCTTAGAAGTTGTTGGTTAGTCTGTTTCTATTGTTCAGACCAGGATCTCTCACTCAAAATGTCATCATAGACAACCCACTTTTCATTTCCGGTCACTATTCTTTCAAAAATGAGTCATTCGCATTGAGTTTAAGAAGCATATCGCAAAGACCAAGTCGCCTCGTTAACTAACGTTCCCCAAAGTAACGCATCAAGCTTTTTTTGGCACTCAAGACGCCGCAGACGGTTTTTGACGCACGTATGTGACACATCTAGCTTCTTTACAATGTCCTTTGTCGAACCATGCCGATCATAATCAATGAGAGCCTTTATTTGCTCATCATTAACCTCCAATGGACCCCCAGAGAGCTCCTCATTTTCCAAAGGATAATTTCCATAATGGAATTTTGCAAACCAGTTTTGACACTGCCGTTCTATTAAGGTTTCATCCCCCTACACGACCCACAACTTTTTATTGGCCTGGGAAGCATTAACACTCTTTCAAAAATAAAAAAGGAAAATGTGGAGGAAATGCTCGTTCGGTTTGGCTCCCCATGTTTGAATGTCTTTTGTTCGCGCACTATTTTGTACATAAACGTAAACGTACTCAAAAAAAATGAACAAACTATCCGTTGGGTGGAAAATCCGCAGTTACTTATTGGCCAACCCAATAATAAAAAAAAAAAAAAAAAAGGAAAAACTTTTATATATATAATTTTGTTGTTCCATAAACTTTTTTTTACATTTTATTCATTTTAAATTATTATTACAGATTATTATCATTTGTTTACCCATTTGGAGCAACTCTGAATGTGGTTAAACCTGCTATTGCTGTTCTTTCGAGTGGAAGTGTGGCAATACCATTACAACGCCCTGTTTGTGCATTTTTTAAACAAAAAGGTTTTATTATTAATAACTTATTACGTCACCAATATAATTTTTGTAGTTCATTGCCTGCCACATTGTATTTTTGCACACATTTAAAATTTTTTTTTTTTTTTTTTTTTTGCTTCTTTTTTATTCAACGGCTTGCTTTCGTAATATTCGCATATGATATTATTATTATTACTCGATTAGTTTGCACAATTTATACAAATCAAAATAGTTACGTCATATGTAGCCATGTCCAGCTATCAGGATAATTTTCCGATTTTAATAAAACTCTTTTTCGATCATGTTCACATTAAGTAAAATAAAATGCACTTATAGGATGTTTTTTTTTTTTTTTTTTTTTTTTTTTTAATGGAAAAAATAAATAAAAACACTTAATTAATAGGAGAAAATATATATTGTTTTCAATTAATAATATTTGTGTTTGTGTTTGTTACAGGAAAACTTGTCGTCGTTGGTTCATCATTGCTCCTGTCTGATCCCTACGTCGACAAAGAAAACAATATGGATGTTGCAAATGTTATTTTATCATTTCTATTAACCGACGACGTTCATTTGGATCAAATTGATGCAGACGATCCGGATGTGGCGGATTACACGTTCGTACCAAGTTTATCGAGTTTGGTTGGAAAACCCAGAGTTTGCCTACAGCGACCGACTATTGTAAGTTTTCCTTTTTCCCCCCCCCCTCTCTCTGTCTCTTTTTCTCCATCGTAATAATAATAATAATTGTTTTTCTTCTAGGATTTAGAACTTGGTAATTTTAAAACGGCAAATGAGAAAATGTTTTCCGTCAATTTGGATAAAGTTTCACTGGCGTTAGAAGGATACCAGGTTTTAGGTTTGAAACACGAACCTTTAACTCTCATCACTCCCGAATTTGAAACTCCATTACCGGCACTACAACCGGCGGTAAATATTTTCTTTTTTTTTTTTTTTTTAAATTCGTAAAAATTAAATGAAAGGATTTTTAATATAAGAAAATAAAAATTTTTTATTTTTTAAAACAACTTTATTGTTAAAAATTAATTAATTAATTAATTAATTTTATTTGTTTCAATTTTGTTTTCAGGTGTTTCCACCCGTTTTGAGAGAACTCCCACCGCCACCCCTTGAATTATTCGATTTGGACGAGGCATTCAGTTCGGATAAAACAAGATTGGCACAAATCACGAATAAATGCATGCCGAAAAAAGAAGATGATGATGATAATTACGACGAAGAAAATAATTTAATTTACTACATACAAGAATGCACTCAAATCGTTCGACCCTATAATGACATAACCGAATATTCAAATCCGAGGCAGATACTACACGATCTCGCTGTGGAATTGTTTCAATTTAAAAAATCTTCTGTCTCGGATTAGACTTGAAACTCTTGGAGAGGGAAAATAAAGAAAAAGGACATCGCATGAAATAACATTAAACGTTAGTAAAAAACTGTCGGACGTAACTACGATTGTACTTTGAGAATAACGACGACGATCAAGAAGAAGACGAAGAGTACGAAGATTACAATGAAGAAGACGAAAGCGAAAGTAAAGACCACGACGTAGAAGAGAGAAGACGAAAGCAAAGATCGCAACGTAGAAGAAAGAAGAAGAAAGCAAAGACCACGACGTAGAAGAGAGAAGACGAAAGCAAAGACCGCAACGTAGAAGAGAGAAGACGAAAGCAAAGACCGCAACGTAGAAGAGAGAAGACGAAAGCAAAGATCGCAACGCAGAAGAGAGAAGACGAAAGCAAAGATCGCAACGCAGAAGAGAGAAGACGAAAGCAAAGATCGCAACGCAGAAGAGAGAAGACGAAAGCAAAGACCGCAACGCAGAAGAGAGAAGACGAAAGCAAAGACCGCAACGCAGAAGAGAGAAGACGAAAGCAAAGATCGCAACGCAGAAGAGAGAAGACGAAAGCAAAGATCGCAACGCAGAAGAGAGAAGAAGAAAGCAAAGATCGTAACGCAGAAGAGAAGACCCCAACGCAGAAGAGAAGACCCCAACGCAGAAGAGAAGACCCCGACGCAGAAGAGAAGACCCCGACGCAGAAGAGAAGACCCCAACGCAGAAGAGAAGACCCCGACGCAGAAGAGGAGACCCCGACGCAGAAGAGGAGACCCCGACGCAGAAGAGAAGACCCCGACGCAGAAGAGAAGACCCCAACGCAGAAGAGGAGACCCCGACGCAGAAGAGGAGACCCCGACGCAGAAGAGGAGACCCCGACGCAGAAGAGAAGACCCCAACGCAGAAGAGAAGACCCCAACGCAGAAGAGGAGACCCCGACGCAGAAGAGGAGACCCCGACGCAGAAGAGGAGACCCCGACGCAGAAGAGGAGACCCCGACGCAGAAGAGGAGACCCCGACGCAGAAGAGGAGACCCCGACGCAGAAGAGGAGACCCCGACGCAGAAGAGGAGACCCCGACGCAGAAGAGAAGACCCCAACGCAGAAGAGGAGACCCCAACGCAGAAGAGGAGACCCCGACGCAGAAGAGGAGACCCCGACGCAGAAGAGGAGACCCCGACGCAGAAGAGGAGACCCCGACGCAGAAGAGGAGACCCCGACGCAGAAGAGGAGACCCCGACGCAGAAGAGGAGACCCCGACGCAGAAGAGAAGACCCCGACGCAGAAGAGGAGACCCCGAGGGTGAGGTGTGAAGTCTCCGGTCCCGAGGATGAGGGGTGAAGTCTCCGGTCCCGGGGGTGAGGGGTGAAGTCTCCGGTCCCGAAGAGGAGGGGTGAGGTCTCCGGTTCCGAGGATGAGGGGTGAAGTCTCCGGTCCCGAAGAGGAGGGGTGAGGTCTCCGGTTCCGAGGATGAGGGGTGAAGTCTCCGGTCCCGAAGAGGAGGGGTGAGGTCTCCGGTTCCGAGGATGAGGGGTGAAGTCTCCGGTCCCGAAGAGGAGGGGTGAAGTCTCCGGTCCCGAAGAGGAGGGGTGAGGTCTCCGGTTCCGAGGATGAGGGGTGAAGTCTCCGGTCCCGAAGAGGAGGGGTGAAGTCTCCGGTCCCGAGGATGAGGGGTGAGGTCTCCGGTTCCGAGGATGAGGGGTGAAGTCTCCGGTCCCGAAGAGGAGGGGTGAAGTCTCCGGTCCCGAGGATGAGGGGTGAAGTCTCCGGTCCCGAAGAGGAGGGGTGAAGTCTCCGGTCCCGAGGATGAGGGGTGAGGTCTCCGGTCCCGAAGAGGAGGGGTGAAGTCTCCGGTCCCGAGGATGAGGGGTGAGGTCTCCGGACCCCGGTGAAGTCTCCGATGACGGTGTCCTTGACGTTGTGCCGTTTTGAATGTGACCCCCCCTCCTCCTTGACGCGATTTCGTTTATCCCTCCGAAGTGGTCCCCTGGAAGCAGAAAACGATTGTGATTAGAATAATGATAAGAAAAATGATGAAAAGAGTTTTAAATAAAATTGAACTATTTGCCTTTAAATGATTTGACGTTTCTTGCATTCCCTTTAATCCTTTGGTTCAAATGGACTCCCTACGGCGAAACCATAAAAATCTCCTTTTCGATGCCGGATTGAGACGTTCCGTGTTGGGTCTTATCGACGGTTTCCGAATCGTCATCGCATTTCAAAGAAATCGTAGTAGATGGTTGCGAATGTAAAAAATCTTCTGCTTGACTTTTCGTTACGTTCGAATTAATGTTTTCTTCCTCCGATATCAAACCCGTATTACCTGCAATAGTAAAAAAATTAATTAATAAATTTTTCTTTTATTACGTCACGATAAGACAAACACATTAGCAAAAAAATGGGGAGGGGGGGGCGTACCTGCAACTAAATCATTCCAAATTTTTTCAACGATCCCACCAGCGGCGAAAGCGTAACTTTTAAATTTCGGTATCCACCAATTGAAATAATCAGGATTTTTATTCAGGTACTGGTTTCGTACGTTTAAATAAACATTTTTGAAAATTTCCGACAAATTCGAATCCTCCTTTGGAATCGTTCCCTCAGAACTTTCCAGAAACAATTCGTTCAATTCTGCAAAGAGAAAAAAAAGAAAAAAAAATTAACGAGATTGAATAATAATAATAATAATAATAATAATAATAATAATAATAATAATAATAATTATATACATATTGTATTCGACAATAAAAAGGGTTACCATTATCCGTAGGAAAAGATTTGGCAAACAACGACATGATTTTCCCCCTAATCGAATCTTTTTCCCTTCTGACGTCATCCGAATTGAAATGATGACGTCCGACGTTTTTTCGCCCTCCTTCCGATTCCGCACCTTCTTTCTTCTCCCCATTCAAATTTTCCTCCGCTCTTTTCATTTTAATTATTTTGAAATTTTCTTTTATTTTCTTCATCGGCCCCTTCATTTTATCTTCTACCGATTTGGGAATCCTGAAATTTCAACGGGACAACAAAACAGAAAACTCAAAATTATTATTGAAAAAGAAAATCGGTTTCACGACACTCACCTCACGTAATTTTTTATATGATGAGGAACCGTTTCCGGCAGAGGTTTTTCCGGATGTAATCCTTTTTGAATGACGCAATAATGAAAAAATTGCTCTTTGAAATCGTGTAAATTTGACAAATCGAATGCTTCGCAAGGTTCCCCACGTAAATCCCTGGAAAAAAAAAAAAAAAAAAATTAATTTTAAAATCTCATTTTCTAATTCCAGCATATTAATAATAATAATAATAATAATAATAAATTATTAACTTTTCCGCATTCATTAAATCCATACTATCGATCAAATCGTCGATGGCATCCAACTGATTCTTGGTTATATTATTCGTCAAATTTTCCAGGGATGGAAAATCTATTGATTTCATTTCTTCTTGAAAAGCCAATTCGACAAATAAAAGACACTGGAAAAAATTAATAATAATAATAATAATATTAAACAATATTCAAAGAAAAAAATCTTCAAAGTACAAAGCAAAAAATTTTTCTTTTTCCCTTAACTCCCCTTGCTCCCCCCTCCCTCCCCCCTGAGAAAAACATAGGTCGATTGATTACTTCTTTAGAAAAAACGTCGCCATCATCATCATCATTATCGTTCGAATAAATTTCTTCGACGAAAGGATAAAGTATACCCAATGACAACCCTCGATCATCGCTGTAAACTTTTCTAACGATTCCAACGCATTCCATTTGTTTCATGGCTTGAACGATTGCCGACAAAGCAATTTCCGCATTCTAAAAAGATGGGGAAAATATTAGGAGGTCAGCAATGTCAGAAGGTCGACGTTGCAAAAAAAAAAAAAAAAAAGTCAAAACTCACTTCGTCTTTATCTCTTCCCGTGACGACATAAGAACATTCTCCGGATAGTAAATAATACGGAACGGATGACATGTTTGTAAATCCGATGACGCTCAACGATTTACGTCCGGGTTTATATTCCATTATTGTTTTATCATCTCCTGGGGGAAAAAAAAAAAACCAAAAACTTTTAAAAAAATGGCGCCTTTTTTGGCGGTTCATAGAAGAGATAATGATGGTGCATCGTACTTGAATATGGAATAACGGTCGTTCCGTAACGATAACCTTCGATAGTATCATCTTCACTTATTTCAACATCCATCAATTCTTTATTTTTCACAGATTCAGGTTTGTAATTGAGTATTTTATCTCTTACGACAGGTACCGTTTGAGAATTTTGCGATGGTTCATAATTTTGCGTTGGATTATCATCACCATCATCATCGTTTGATTTTAAATATTTCGTGTCAAATTTTTTCGAATTTTTTGGATCCGTCTGAAAAAAAAAGAAAGAAAGAAAGAAAGAGAATTTGGGTTTTGAATAGCAAATAATGGATGATAGCAAAAATTTTTTGTTTTGACATTTTGTTTAAATTAACTAACCTTTTTGTACATTGATATGCTTATTTTAACATCTCCTATATCCAATATGGAATTCCAGGGTGTTTTCCTACGGGATTTTCTTGTGAACGAACACAATTGCTTCAATGCAGATTCGAACGAGCAAATGATTACTTGTTCTGGAATCTAAACATTTAAATTATATTCAAACAATTCATTATTGAAAATGTATTTGTTTAATTAAAAACAATAACAAACCCTTTTCCAAAATTGTAATATGATTTCTTCACCATTTTGCCTCTCCTGACTCAACACGACATCATTTGTCTTTTTTTTCTTTGTCGCTGGTTCATGATTATCATCATCATTTTCAATCAGGGATAGAATATTTTCAGGTCCACTAAAATTATAAATAATAATTAATTATTTATCAAAAAAAATTTTAATTCAAAATGAAATGATTCAATTGATACTTACATTATGGTAAGGCAAATGTTTGACTTTTTTAAATTTTTAATTAATTCATCGATATCTTCCGATAGTGGATGAACAAAATCAGAAAAGAAAACAATTTTCTTATTCGCCACATGATTAAATCTGGAAAAAATAAAATAATTAAACAATTTATTATTTTCAAAGGGTAATTATTATTATTGTTATTTTTTTTTATCAACCTGAGATTAATGAAATGAATGATTATTACTCTTCGTAAACTTTTAACATTTCCATAGACATGATTAATGCTCCCAACCAATCGGAATCGTTTTCAGTCTGTTGAATTTCCAATTCTATAAATTTCAACATGTCCCATGATGCATTTTGAAATTCAAATTTACAATTTATGTTGTTATAACCGCTCAACTTCCATGTATTGTTCACATCATCCGATCCGATAAGTATAATGCTTAAAACATCTACACTTTGAGATATTAACTGAAATGAGAAAAAAATTACTTTTAAACAAAAAACATAAAATCATTCAATAACAATCATGTAATCCAACTTTGGAGGTTAGGTATGGGGGATGTTTTAAGGGTGAGATTGACAAAGCATTCGCTAGGGGGTAAATCTTCAACTTGGATGCGTTGGGGGAGCCCAAGATGAGCCGGGTTGAGTCCGAAAAAAAAATCGAAAAAGTCACCGAGTTGAGAATTGTGGGTTCAAATCTTGGGAGTAGGAGTTTAATTTCAGCTTGTCCAAACAAGAACAAACCTGTACCTAAATAAAGGGATAAGTGACCTAGAACCCTTTCGAGGAGCAAGTGTGGACCTGATAATTCTGGCTAAGAAGGGAGTTGAGGCTGAAATGCGAGTTAAAATTCCCGAGAGGCACTCATCCCTCCAGGAAAAAGATCACAGTGAAACACATTCAGGAGTTTTTAGTTAGGTAGTTGTTTTGGCTGAGTCCCCCCACACTGTCCCTGCTAACGGGTGGGGAGGTTAGTGCGAAATGCATTTGTCCTGGGTTAACACACAAAAAAAAAAAAAAACCGGTATGTGAAAATTTAACAAAAAAAAAAAAAATTACATTAAATAAAAAAAATTAAATTACCTTTCTTTGAATTATCCATGAAACACATTTTTTCGAACGTTCAAAAAATGTATTCGTTTCGTATTCATTTAACGAACTAACCGATTTACCAACATCTAAGATTATGATAATGGCATCCTGTAAAAAAAAAATTTTTTTTTTTAATTTTTTACAAAAAATAAAATTTATAATTTAAATTTAAATTTAAAAACTTATTACTTACGTGTAAAGGTGCAGGCATTTTGAAAAATTTTATTTTATTAAACGATAATACACTCAAAAAAATTATTTTTTTATTATAACAAGTTCACACACGGTTGACACTTTCATGACTGACGCCATCTTACTTTTACACCACGTTTTTTTCCACCGCATATTACGTCACGTATTATTTAGTACCACGTCGTTTTATAACCGCCATTTTTGTATTTGCATATAAACAAACATATTCATATTTTTCTTTTATTTTATTTATTTTTTGTTAATTTTAACGAATCAAAAGGATAAATTATATTAAATAAAAACAAACAAAATACTATCTACAAAATTATTATATTATATAAAATAATTTCACTTTGTTAATTAATTTCTTCATTTTTATATATTTATATATATATATATAATTTTTTTTCGAACTAATAAAATAAATTAAAAAATTTTCTTTTCTTTTTCTTGTTTTAAATTAATAATAAAAATATAAATAATATAATACAAATAATAATAATAATAAAAAATTTAAAAACACATTTCGTAATTTTATTAAAAAATTTAATAATAATAATAATAATATTAAATAAATAAATAAAATAAAATAAAAAAAAAACAACGAAAAATTTAAAAAAAAAAAAAAAACCGCGAATTTTTTCTTTTTTTTTTTTGTATTTACGTATTCGAAAAAAAAAAAAAAAAAAAAAAAAAAACATTTAAGAACGTTAAAATGATGAGAAAATGGTGAAAACTCATCAAATACATATATATATTTTATTTTATTAATAATTTTAATATTTTTTATAAGGCAATCAATATATCAATCAATCAATCAATTCTTTTCGATGATTTTATTCGTCATCATCATCATCATCAACGATAAATCGTTCTCTCTTTTTTTTTAAATTTTTTATTTATTTATTTATTTATTTTACATTTTTATAAAAATTATCTTTAAATATATTTCCGGCTACGGCTACTGCACCGCCTTGTAAAAACCTAACGAAATTATCACCGACTAAAGGCCCCAAAGCGTACAATCCGGGAGGAGCACGAACGCACTTATAACTAAAAGGTTCTATTTGTATCGGATTCGTTTTGCAATCGATGGGTTTGTTCGCGTCTATCCCTAAATTTCTAAGAGTTTTCGGTAGGAAATTCAAATCCGGTTGAGAACCGATAAGTATGGCCACGGATGAAACTTTTATTATTTTCACATTTCCCGTACAATCCGAAAGTTTAACCGTTTTATCGTTACCGAATTCCGTGACTTGATATCCGGGCAACGGAGTGTAATCTTTTCTCGTCGTCGAACCTTCCATTAATTCGTACAACTGAAAAAAAAAAAGACACAATGAAAAAATCACAGTCGTGGAACTAGACAAATTTTAAATTTATTAATTTAATTTACCTCGTGATATTCCGGATAAATGACGGCGGGTAATTTGGTCGTCGTTAACGGACTCCTAAACGCGTGTATGACGTCATAATTTTTCTTCCACGCTGCCAATATGGCGTCGGACGCGCTCAAACCAGCTCCGACAATTAAAACTTTTCTGTTGTTATCGTCGTCGTCGTCGTCGTCGTCGTCGACGTCGACGACGATTTTATCCTTATCGTTATCGTTTTCTAAATTCATTTCGCTCAACGATATATCCACGTTATCATTTTTTGGAATGTCGGCTGGAACAATAATGGACTCCGTTTCCGTTTCCGATTCCGATTCTTCTTCTTCTTCTCCTTTACCTTCCGTCGTTTTAACACGGTTGTTTTTTTTTAACGATATCGACGAGGTGTCTTCGACGTGACCGTTCGTGTTATTTTTCAATTGTTTGTTGTTTGTTAACTTTTTCCCCCCACCGACACCGCCACCGACACCGTCGCCACCCTCGGCGATCCCTCCTCCTACATGTGGCGAACTGTTCGTTTTCCTTCCGAACGCATCATCCGTATGATTTAACCCGTTGTTGCGATTCGAATTCCCGGACGTTTTCTCACTCTCGTTCAACCCCGTCGTTTGTATGCATCCGTTCGATTTTGATTTTTGACTTATTATTTTATTATCACAACGCGATAGCGACGACTCGCATGAAAATTCGCGATTTTTCATCATTTTTTTATAATAATAATTATTTCCCTTTTCACTTTTCCGCGAAAGTTGTTCTTCGAAATGCCTCAGGTTGTGTGTGACGAAGGAAAAGGATTCTCCGGGCACGTTTAAAACTCCCGCCTTGTCCGACGAGCCCGTGGCCAAAACTAAATGACGACATTCGTAACTTATAATACCACCGTTGGCATCGTTGACCCAAACTTTCCATCGAGCTCTTTTCCTCAACTGAAAATCACAACAACAACATGAATCGAATTCCCGAACGAAAAATCCGGAAATGGAAAACAAAAACCTCTCTCTCTCTCTCTCTCTCTCTCTTTCTCTCTACCTATCTCTCTATCTTTCTACCTTTCTCTCTTACCTTTGACGTAGGTATGGGTTGAATCATTGTGACCGTTGATTGCGAAGCCATGTAAGGACCGAGATCATTTTTCTTTACGTATTCCATATAATATTTGGCAACGGCATATGCTGGAGCTCTCTTATCGTGATATTCATTGAATTCCAAACCGGGCAACGCCATCCAACGTCCCGGACTTATTGTGAGCACGTGATCGGCCACAGTCTGAAAATAAATAAATAATAATAATAATAATAATAATACGTTTCGTCATGGACGCATGGATGATTCAAACGGAAAAAAACCCGGAAGGAAAATTACCATCACCCCTCCCCCTCCCCTCCTTTCCCTCCTCTCGAAAAAAAAAAAAAAAAAAAAAACACGCAGACGCTGATCAATGTGTAATGTTTGAAATCGGACTTCACCTGGAATATTCCAGTCGATTCCAGAATTAATTATTTATTAAAAAAAAAATTATTAAAAACAAAAAACAAGACGACAACATTAAAATGTTAAAATTTTTTTATCGAAAACCGATAAAAATCAAAAAAAAAAAAAAAAAAAAGTAATTAGCTAATCTGATTTATTTTCTATCTTTCGAGTATTTTTTTTTTGTTCGAAACTTTTGTTTATTTTTGTCGCTGTTTGTTGTTGTTGTTGTTGCTGTTGTTGTTGTTGTTGTTGTCGTCGTCGTTGTTGTTTTCTTAAATTTGTTTTCGATACGTAATAATTTCAAAACCAAGCAAATAATAATAATAATAATAAATTCATTTTTTTTTGTCCATTTTGCCGTGCGCGTAAATAATTTAACCGACGATGATAATAATAATAATAATAATAATAATAATAATAATAATAATGATTTATGCGACCGGTGATGACGTCAAATTTAAATTAATCGATTTTCATTTTTCCCATCGGCCAATAATTTTATCATTATTATTATTATTATTATTATTTGTTTTTACGCATTTACCATTACGTATAAATAAATTACAGCAATAAAATATAAAAAACAAACGTGGAGTGAGGGGGGAGGGGGGGAAATAATAATAATAATAATAATAATAAATTCTTACGAAACGTAAATAATTTTTTTTTTTTTTCGCCAGAAATATGTTAATAATAATAATAATAATAATAATAATAATAATTTACTGGAAAATCGACCTTGAAATTAATAATAATAATATAAAAAAATATGAGAGAAAAAAAAAAAAAAAACGAATGTGAACGCGACGAGGTGTAGAGGTCAAAAAAAGGTCATACCGGGTCAGGAAAACTCATGCCGCCGAAGAGGAAGGACGATTCGGGTTGCCGGAATGCCACGGCCCACAATCCCAGAGATATACGAAAATCCCGGAAAAATCTCAAACGATCCCGAAGGAAAGAATATGACGAAATGTTCGAGACGAATCTCCGGGATTTTTGTCGCGCTATACTCAGGAGAATGTGTCGTAACGATTCAAATAATAATAATAATAATAATAATAATAATAATAATAATAATAATAATAATAATAATAATAATAGTTTTTTTCCTTCCGTTTGTCGTTTGCCACCGACCCCCCCCCCCCATTTTTTTTTCTATCTAGAAAGTTCATTAGGCCTTTCGTATTAAAGCCATAATTTATTTTATTATAACATACGTTCGAGTCAAAGTCAAAGTCAAATCAAATTTTTTTTTTTTTTTTTCTTTTGTTGGTAAACACGTTTTTTGCCTATTTGCACTGTGTGCGGGTGTGCGCGTGCGCGTGACCTTCAACAACAGCGACAAAACATTAAAAAAAAAGAGGAAAACGTCGACACACAATGATAATGATTAAACAGGCTCGCATCTTCCCCCCCCCTCTCTTTCTCTTTCTCTCACTCAGTAAAACGATTCGGGAATAACAAAGGGAAAATAACAATAATAATAATAATAATAATTGTGTGAAACTTACGAGCCACGTACCGCCGGGATCACCTTTTCCTAATACCACGTGATCCAAACTTTTCGCCGTTTTTTTCCACGTTATCAAAGATGGCCATTCCAAACCCATGTCGGCTCCTGGATGTGTCATGGCATCGATCAAAAGCGAAATTGGATTTTTCGATCTTCCTTCGATTCCCTAAACAAAAGAAAAAATTGTCGTGGCTGCAGAAATATTATTTACACGACTCGAATACTCACATCAAACGTAATAATCATAATAATTAAAAATTCATTAAATGGATTTTTTTTTTAAAAACAAAACGCGACGGACATTTACAATTTAAATTTTTATTTATCGTTCTTTATCGATGACCTTTTCGATTTGTAAAATCGATAGATCGATCGATCTATCGATTCGATAACGAATCGATTTAAAAAAAAGAAAGAAAAAGGGAAAGAAAAAATTTACTCGTATCAAAATATATAATTATAATAATTAATAACTTTTCCTTTTTGTAAACATTTTTCCTTTTTTTCCTTTTTCCTTTTTCTTTCCTTTCCTTTTTTTTCTAGAAATTTCTACGATTTATTTGTATGTTAATTAAGGGTGTGAAATTATATCGACTTCGAGAACTAAGAATAGAAAAGAAAAAAAAAAAAATGATTTGCATACGCAATTCTCGTCCTCGTTCTCCATTTTTTTTAAAAAAAAATATTTACCGATAATTTTTTTTTTTTTTTTTTTTTTTGCACAATAACGTTTACGTTTTTCTACGACGCCATCTTTGTTTTCCCGGAAACCGTAAAAAAAAAAAAAAAAGAAAAAAGAAAAGGAGGAACTCACCTGAGATAAAAACGATAGATCCTGATGCAAAAGTGATTTGTGAGTGCATTCAATGAGTCTTGCGCTCAACATGGGATCCGGATGTGGGATTTTATTATAATAAGGCCGATATCCGTTTAACAGGTACGACAAAGTTATACCGCTCGGTCCATTTCCTGCGAAAAAAAAAAAAAAGAAAATTTAAAAAAAATTTTCCCCCTTTTTCCTAAAAAAAAAAAAAAAAAATTCATTTTTCTCAACCACACACCAAATTTCTTTTTATTATTATTATTATTTTCATTATCATTATCATTGTGAAAAATATTTTGTGACCCATCGAACTTTGTAATACGTTTCTCGAGATTTCAATCGATTTTAGATGATGATAATAATAATAATAATAATAATGTTTTAAAAATCACACGCGATCGGTTTATATTTTCTCTCTCTCTCTCTCTCTCTCTCTCTTGAAAAATTTTTGTTTACCCGTTGGTATTATTATTATTTACGTTCTTGGCTTTCTCTTTCCTAATTTCCCTCCCCCCTCCCTTCCCATTAACCTCCACCACTCGACGGTAACAAATAATAATAATAATAATAATAAACACTCGAAGATATGACAAGTAGCAGACGATTCGAGTGTGTGCGTGTGTGTGTGTGTGTTAATTCCTAATCTTAGTTTTGATATATTTTTATATATATTTATATTTAATACCGATGATAATGATGATAATGAGACGACCGTTTGTTCGCCTTATCAAATTTTCCGTACAAAAAAAAAAAAAATTTTCTTTTTCTATTTCGAATCGTTTGAAAATAATTCAAGAACAAAACACGATGACATTCGACGCGTCTCTCTCCTTCTCTCTCTCTCTCTTTCTATCTATCTATCTATCTAACAATTCATCTTTGTTAACCGTGTCACTTGAAATAGATTTTTAGATGCCAAGGGTTTTTCTATTACGCGAATAATTAAAAATTTTTTTTTTTATTCGATTTTGGCTTTACTTCAATGATACACGCGACGCACCGTTCATTACTTTATTGCCCCCCCGCCTCGCCCCACCCCCTCTCTCATTCGGTCCCCCACTCGGGTATTTTCAACTACCACAAAACCTTCATCGTTATCATCAACATCATTATTAATATTATTTCAAAAGCTTGTAAAACACCTTAACTGACCTAACGAAACGAGTTAGAGAGAGAAAGAGAGAGAGAGGGAGAGAGAGAGAGAAAACCGGTTTTCAGCCGTTTGGCTATTTCATTATTGCCTTAAGGTCAAATTTTTTTTTTTTTTTTTTTTTTTACGCTTCGATTAAATTAATTTAAAAAAAAAAAAATATATAAAATGTAATTATATAACGTAAAATTTTGCAAATCGACCGCGTTCTATTAAATAATTAATTACAAACAAACGGACAAACGAACAAACAAACAAACAACAAACTTTGTTTTTATATTCGTTCGATATAAAAAAAAACTTTGCAAAAAAAAAAAAAAAAATTTTTTTTTTTTTTTTTTTATTCAAAGGTTGAATTTGTCAAGGGTAATGTCGTCATTATTATTATTATTACAAAAAAAAAAAAACTCGACTGTAATTAAATTAATTATTAAAACCGAATTGTTTCGAAACAATTTGACTAATGTCATCACTATACTCGTCGCTCGCATATAAAAAAAAAAAAAATTCATTTCCTGTTTATTTCGTTTCCGTTAACGGAAAACACAAAAAAAGGCGATTTATAGCGAAATTTAAATATAATAAATATATATATATGTATATGACGTCATTGAAAATTATACGAATTCGATTCCATCGTTTTCCTTCTTCCTTTATAATAATTCGACGTTTTATTAATTATTTATCGGTTATCGTTGATGATGATGATAATAATAATAATAATAATAATAATAATAATAATAATAATAATGGCGTGAATAATTTCATTGCGGCAATTAATAAATAAATTAATTAATAATAATAATAATAATTTTAAGATGGTGACCACCTTCGTAAATTGTTTATTACTATTTTCCTTCATTTTTTTTTTCATTTTTCTGCGTCATCATTATCATCATCATCATCATTATCATCGTCGCCGTCCTCGTCGTCTTCGGCGTCGTCATTGCCGTCATTTTTTCGCGTAAATCCTCCAAACGTCGAAAAACGAATATTAATGATAATAATAATATTAATAATAAAACGTAACGGTTAACTTAAATAATTTTTCTTTCACGAACTTGAAATTTTTCTCTCCCCCCCCCGATTCTCTCCCGCGTCTCCCCCCATCCTCTCTCTCTCTCTTTTTCTTCTTCTTCTTCTTTTTCTTGTTCCACGTTTACGCCGAAAAACGTCAGCAATAATTGTAATTAACCGCAAAAATAATATTTATATATATATATATATATATATATATATTCTCGGAATAACGCGACCAAGGTAAAATGCACAATTTTTTTTTTTTTTTCAACATTGTGCGGTCGATAAAATTAATAATAATGATAATGATAATGATAATAATAATAATGATAATGATAATATTGATAAACTCGTTATTGATCAGTTGGCAAAAAGAAAAAAAGAAAAAAAAAAAAATTTACAACCGCAATTTTTTTTTTTCCTTTCAATTTTTTTTTTTTTTTTTCCGTTTCGTTTCGCTTTAAAAGTTTCGAAACTTTTCCGAGAAATACTTTTACCGCGAGAGACCCCACGTTTCGACATACGATTAATTATTAATAATAATAATAATAATAATAATAAGAAGAAATAAAACGTTTTTTTTTCTTTCGTTTTCGTTTTCTTCCTCCTCTCTTTTTGTTTTCAACTTCAAATTAAAATTTATTATTATTATTATTATTACTACAATTAATTTTTTAGTTTTAGGCTTTAAGTGGGTCGTTTGATTGTTTCAACTGCCTGTTGTTGGTCTACAACAACAACAACAACAACAACAACAACAATCAAACAACAAAACAGGTTATTTAAAAAAAAAAAAAAAAAAAAAAAAAACATTCGATCGCGAAAATAATAACAATAATAATAATAACGACGATGACGATGATGATTATTATAAATTGAATTTTTGTTGTGACGGGTTAAGGAAATTTAAAAAATTTCTTTTTACCCGGCAAACAACAAACGACTAACAAACTACAACTTACAACTACAACTCACCTATAACAACAACTTCCTTATAAATGCATTTGACGTCATTCTCCGGTGATTCTTCGTCTAGCTCGTTGGTAATGACATTGAAGTTCCTCATTCTAATGTTAATCCTGAATTTTTAACAAAAAAAAAAAAAAAACAATTTTTTTTTATTTTATTTAATATCACGATTCTTGCGTAAATGCGTGGGTGGATGGGTGCGTGAGTGCGTGAGTAAGCGAGCGAAATCGCGAAAACACTTTTTTTTTTCCTTCGATTACAATAATAATAATAATAACTTAACACGACCGTTTCCTCGAATCGACTAAAAACTTAACAAGATAAACTAAATCATGTGGGGAGACAAATGAAAAAAAAAAAAAAAAAAAAAAACTGGCGTTTTAATAAATAAGGAGGCAGCGTCATCATCGTTTTGAATTAAACTTAATTTACTCAGAGCAGACGACGACGACGACGACGACGACGACAATGGCGGATAGATTTTCCTTCCCCCCCTCCCCCTCCCAACCACGTCTCTCTCTCTCTCACTTTCGATAACCGCTTTTCGACACTTTTTTTAAACACAAAATTTTCACACGAGTTTCCCGAGAGGGAGAAGGAAGAGGAGAAGGAGGAGGAGGAGGAGGTGGGGGAGGGGCGATACAAACACAAAGGAAATTAAAAACCCGAAAAAATATTAATGATAATAATAATATTTCACACGTTAATTAAAACTTGCCTTTGTATGACCCTAAAAACCCGAAAATAAAAAAAAAAAAAAATTTAAACGTAAACAAAACTCTTACTGCTCGCGTATTACTAATAATAATAATAATAATAATAATAATAATAATAATAATAATAATGGTATGATTTGCAACGATGCCTAATAATATGAATGCCGTTCGTTACGTAATCATTCACGAGAGTGAGAGAGAGAGAGAGAGAGAGAAAATATAAACCGATCGCGTGTGATTTTTAAAACATCATCATCATTATTATTATGTATATATACTTTTCCATCGTACTTTTGCTCTCTCTCTCTCTCTCTCTCTCTCTTTCCCCTTATCAATCCGAATGATGATGATGATGATAATGGAACAACACCTTGTAGAAAATTAGTCTCAAGTTTTCTTTTTTTTTTTTTTTTTCTATAGTTTACGCAATTCGAAGGACGAAAAACAATAATGATAATAATAATAATAATAAATCATATTTATAATTTATGACATTCTCCTTTAAGTAATCACTCAACCGTATTCTCTCTCTCTCTCTCTCTCTCTCTCTTTCCCTTTCTTTCTTTCTCCCCATATGATTAATAATTTATTAATTCATTGATAACCAATGGGAAAGAAAAGAAAAGAAAATAGTAATAATAATAATAATAATTGAAATTTTCAATTTTCTTTCCCATCCCCCACTCTCCCTCTCTCTCTCTCTCTCTCTCTACTTTTCCCATTGCGATTTATGACGTCATATACGATGTGATTTTCGTGACTTGATTTACTACACGCACGCACTCACGCGAGTGACGGTTATAAATTATTAATTTAAAAAAAAAAAAAAAAAAATGTTTTACACAAAAACTAACTGACTGAATGACTGACTGACTGACTGTCTGGATTCTCCCCGTGAAATATTTTGACCATCATCAGAGGTGATGGAGAGTGCCAGAAAAAAATGGCGACGATGATGGTCAAGGCGAAGGTAAAATAAATTTGCAAAATTATTAAACAATAAGAACAAAAAAAAAATTATTATTAATGTGTCTCGATGATGATAATAATAATAATAATAATAATAATGATAATAAAACGTGAATCTAAAAAACTTTGGCAACGCCGCACGTTTTTTAAAAAAAAAAAAAGATGAATAAACTTAAGAGGGACAGCTCAAGGCTAAAAAAAAAAATAAATTCCTGAAGTCCTTGAAATTTGGACAGACTTTTTAAAATGTGCCATATTGGAATAGATGAAAAAATTAAATTTAAATTTAAATTTAAATTAAAATTAAATTAAATTAAATAAACAGAAACGAAAAACCGAATGTGTGAGAAAAAAATTTTCTTTTTCTCATATTCCCACAGAAACCGTCGCCGCCATCAACCGTTTCGTGCAGTGGGAAAAAAAAAAAAAAATTCAAAAAATTAATAATAATAATAATATTAAGGTGACGACGACGTTATCATCATCATCATTACGTTTTTTTTTTTTTTTTTTTAATAGGAAAAAATTCCCAACTTAAATAATTATCGTCGACCGTATATACGAAAAAAATTTTCTATTCTCGTTTCGTAATGATAATGATGATGATGATCAATACCGGCATAAATTTTTTTAACGAAAAAAAAAAAAAAAAGGAAAAATCGATAAACGATTTATGAAATATTTTATTGGTCGTCGTCGTCGTCTTCAAATAAAATGATAATGATAATAATAATTATTTAGTCTCACCTGTCAGAAATCAAAAACTAAATGACGATGCTATCTGACAACACATAACACGTTAAACACGCACAAACACACTAACAGACACTAACGAACTGGACTACTACTACTAGCACACTACTGGACTAACTTTTCCTGATAATTATTTTCGTCGTTCACATGACACCGTCCATGATGGATCATTCACATAAAACACCGGAAAATAAATAAAAAAATCATTTAAATACCTTCTACCCCCCCAATTATTTGATGTTATTACATAATTTTTCTTTTGGGGGAAAATCAACGATCGAATTCCTTATTTGTTTTACAGTCTCCCTGTTAAATAAAAAAAACAAGAAATGAAAGAAGAAAAAAAAAAACAACAAAACTTTACGCGATGATTTAAATAAATATCTCTTATTAAATGTTTTTAATAATAAAAATATTTAAAATTAACTTTTAAAAAAAAAGGAATAAAATAAAATGAAAAAAAAAAAAAAAAAAATGCAATATAGACTCCCGAACGAGTTTTCACTTACAATCTGATTTTTTTTTTTTTTTTTTTTTAATCTCTTATCTTCGTACACGACAATTCTATTTACACGTTAAACTTCAAATTCCAATTTTTTTAATTTACTTTGTCGTAATCATTTTCCCATTTAAAAATTTATTTTGTTATAAATGTTATCTCTCGTTAATAATGAAAATTAAATTTTCTTTTTTTTTTTTTTTTTATATAAAAACGTTACGTGGTGTCGTTGAATAATTTTAATAATAATAATAATAATAATAATAAAAGAGGGAGAATCGAGATTAAGTCTTAACTTTATCAGCTTATTAAAAACTCGATTAAAGTTTTTTTATATAATTGTTGTTAGATAATAATAGATGACTGAAGTGGAAAAAATGTCGGAGAATCAAATTGATGGAAATAATATTTTAGCTGAAGCTTTAAAATCTCAGGTTTTGAAATTTTACAATTGTTTTTTTCTTTCTTTTTTTCTTCCCCCCCCCCCTTTAAAGTTAAAGTTTTCTTTTTGTAGGGAGTCAAATATGTTTTCGGCATTGTGGGAATACCTGTTATAGAATTAAGTTTCGCTATGCAGGTATATTTATATAAAAGTTTTAAAACTTTTTACTTTGAATGGGAAACAATCGATAACACATTACTTTAAAAAATATTTCAGAGAAATGGAATGTGTTTTATAGGAATGAGAAATGAACAATCTGCTTGTTATGCAGCTCAAGCAATGGGATATTTAACCGGGACTCCCGCTGTGTGCCTTGTCGTGTCCGGACCAGGACTACTTCATTGTGCAGGCGGAATGGCAAATGCTCAAGTTAATTGCTGGTTTGTTTGCACTCACGCATATTCGTTTTGAAATAAATTCTAGGATAAAATAATAATAATTTTTTTTTTTTCACAAAGGCCCTTGCTTGTGATAGGTGGTTCATGCCCTCAGGATCATGAAGGGATAGGAGGATTTCAAGAATGTTTACAAGTTGAATTAAGCAGACCCTATTGCAAATACTCAGCTCGCCCTCCTTTTTTAACTTTGATACCGAGACATGTAGAAAAAGCAGTATATTTGACAACAGTGGGAAGACCTGGTGAGTTTCTTCCCAACAATCTCCAAATCAAAGTGATTGTAAATATTACAGCAATCATAACATCAATTTCAGGCACAGCTTATTTAGATTTTCCTGGTAATTTACTTCAACAGCAAACATCAGCTTTTAAAATAAAACCTAAAAATTCTGTGAAACCGTTACCTGCCCCCCATTCCGATGCCTTGAACGAAGCCATAAACTTATTGGTCAATGCTAAAAATCCTTTGGTCATAATCGGAAAAGGTATTTAAAGTCGAGCGGTAGTGAAAATTTTTACTTACCAACTTAACAATTAGAAATTTAAACCCTGATAATTGGGCTTTTAGGAGCAGCCTGGGCCAGAGCTGAAAATTCTGTCAGGAATTTAATCGAAAATTATAATTTTCCTTTTTTACCAACGCCGATGGGAAAAGGTGTAGTATCAGATAATGATAAAAGGTAAAGGCCTTGTTTTGTTTTGTTCCTTTTTTTAAAATTTCCTCATGTTATTTAGGTCTTTAAAAAATTTGATTGTTAAAAAAAGTAAAACCTACTTTTTCTCATTTAAGATGTGTAAGTGCTGCCAGGACTGCTGCTCTCTTAAATGCTGATGTGGTTTTACTACTCGGAGCTAGACTCAATTGGATTCTTCACTTTGGTTTGCCTCCCAGATATCAACCGGATGTTAAATTTATTCATGTATGTATGAAATGATGGAGTTTTTTTTTTTTTTTTGTTTTTCCAATGACATTTTACATAGATTGAAAAGAATTTCTTATTTTTTTTTTTTTTTTTTTTTTGTTAAATTTAGGTTGATTTAGTAGCTGAAGAAATGAATAATGGGACTCCTTGTGCAGTAGCCATACAGGCAGATGTTGGCATCACTTGTGATGCTTTGGTAAATGCCCTGAAAGAAAAAAATTTTTCCATCGATTTAAATAATAATAAATGGTGGAACATGTTGCATGGAGCAATTAAAAAAAATACAGAAACTGTTATGGTGATTGTCCTCAAATGAAAATATATTAAAATAAATTTTTAAATTTAAGGGGAAATGTTAATAACGAATACAAACATTTACAGAATATGTGCTTAGACACTTCAGTTCCTCTGAATTACTACACTGTTTTTCATCACATACAAGAAATCATTCCAAAAGGTAAGTTGATTCACACACCTACACACATACACATACAAAATGGTGAGAGTAAAATTTTTTGTTTACTTTTAGACAGTATAATTGTAAGCGAGGGTGCCAATACAATGGACATTGGTAGAGGACTACTTCCAAACATTTTACCAAGGCATAGATTAGATGCAGGAACATTTGGAACAATGGGTGTGGGACCAGGTTTTGCAATAGCTGCTGCATTATGGTGTAAAGATTTTGCACCGGAAAAAAAAGTAGGTTGCAAAGTCGAGAACTATTAGTTTTTCATTTCAAATTTTGCGAGTGATACAAAAATTTTTTTTTTTTTTTTTTCAGGTAATTTGCGTAGAGGGAGATTCTGCTTTCGGTTTTTCAGGTATGGAAGTTGAAACGATGGTCAGGTACAAACTTCCCATAATTATAATTATTGTTAACAACAATGGCATTTACAGCGGATTGGATAAACAAACATTTACAGATTTTCAAAATCTTGGAAGTTTACCAGAAATGTAATTTGAAAAATAATAATAATAATAATAATAGTAATTAACCTCTTAAAATTTATAAATCATTTTAAAAAAATTAATTTGAAATTTTTGGCATTTGCAGAATGCCTCCTACGTCACTGGGAACAGAAATAAGTTATGAAAAAATAATGGAATTATTCGGATGTAAAGGTTACATGGTGAAAACAATTCCAGATCTTCAAAATGCCTTGAAAATATGTTTGAAGGTAAACAACATCAAGTTGTTGTTGTCGTTGTTATTATCTAACAATAATTGATAAAGTTTAAAATTGACATAAATAATCATTTAAAAAAAATTTTTTTTTAGGAGACAGATAAGCCGAATGTTATCAATGTTTTGATAAATCCGACAGCAGGTAGAAAAGCTCAAACATTCAATTGGCTAACAGAATCGAAATTATAAAATACGTATGAGTACAAGTAACGTCGGGGAAAGGGGGGGGGGAAATCCAATCAAATGTATTTTTTTTTTTTAATGTAAATAAAAGTTTTATGTAAATCAATATCAGCAGTATTTTTTTTTTAAATACATTTTTTTTCTCATTTCCGTTTAAAATTAATTACGAATGATGTTAAACGAATTAATATTTTAAGGAATTATCAATGATTTGATATTATAAAAGCTCTCAATTCGATTTTAAAACATTTTTTTTGAAGATGTAAAAAAAAGAAAAAAATATAATAAATGTTCACTTTACCTTAAATCAAAGCCCGTACGTTAGTTAAAACGTTGGTACCGTCTATGACTTTGTCGTGTCATTAGAATATTTAAAAACATGGTTGTTTATAAAATTTTATAATTGCTGTTATATCCCTCGACGGTGTAATAACGACGGTTTTCTTCGTAAATAAGATTTCAATTAAAATAAAAACTGATGAAAATATTGAAGAATTTCACGCCTACTACTACCAGGATCCATTCAAAAATGTTATATTTAGAAGATTACCTGGAAAGTTAGTGTTAATTCAATCATTCGGGTTTTTTTTTTTTTCCTTTTTTTAAATCACGGTTTGATGATTCGATGATTCGGTTTTTTATTTTTTTATTAATAATAATAAAGTATCAGAGCACAAAAACAATCTTTTTTAAAAATGGCACACTTACCCTAATGCACACCTATTATAAATTCTTTCAGTGATTGAACATCTACCACAGGAGTTGAGAGATAGATTTACAGAAATGAGAGAAATGGATTTACAAGTTCAAAATTCAATCGACAGTTTAGAAAAAAGAGTTAAAACGTTTTTTTCAAATGCTAAAAAAATGAAACCAGAAGATAAAGAAAAAGAATATCAAGAAATTAGAAAAGCCTATTACAAAACATTGGAAGATGCAGGTATTTGAATTGAAAAAAAAAAAAAAAATTTTTTTTTCGATTAATGATGATGATGATGATAATGATGAGTGTTTGTAAATTATTTATTCATTTTTTTTTTTTTGTTATTCTCAAGATGAAAAAGTACATTTAGGCACTGCTATGCATGATCTTGTGGATAGATATCAAAGAAGGTTAGATGTTGAAGTTTATAAATTCAAAATGGAATTGGAAGCGGATAACAGAGGAATAACTGAAGTTCTTGAAAAAAGTAAAAACGATTTTCATTTATTCATTTTGTGACAAAAATATGTTTAAATGTTCTGTTCACACTCTCGAATATTAAATTTTTTAAATATTTTTCTGTTTTTTAATTATTAGGATCTCTCGAACTTGATCAACCACAACCCAGTTCTAGTCAAAAAGAAAATCGTTGTGTGCATTCATCAATACTAACAGGTATCGTTCATGTATTAAACCTTCACCTAAATGATCATTTCGTCATTTGTCAATCATCATGTCAGTGTGCGATATGTAAAAAAAATTTCAAAACAAACAATTTTAATTTATTTACACAATCAAACAGGCACAATTTCAAACATAACAATAATTTTTTTTTTTTTATAATGGTGAAGACGCAAAGGTAGAAAAAGAAAGTATGATATTACTCACATGTTTTCCTTTGATGAAATGCAGCACCAACAACCTGCTGTTATAAAAATATGATATCGTGATCTTGTTGTTTCATAATCTCCTCTCATTTTCCCCTCGTGAAACTTTTCTTGCAGGTTTTTTATTATTATTATTATTATTATTTGTTTAGATCATAGCAATAGAGAAGAAAGACGTAGAATCGTGCCTGAAAGACGTCGAGAGTCCGTCCTAGCCTCTGAAAAACGTCTTTCGGAACGTCCTCCGATGGAAGTGAGGCCACCCTCACCGCAACCCGTTGCAACTCCTCCGTCTAGTTACAATTTGGCACACATCGGGGCAGGAGGAAACGCGATAGCGGCGGCGGCTAGTCAAGCCATTGCTGCCACGCAACAAGTAATAAAACGTTTTTTGTTGTTGTCGTTGTTGTTGTTAACATTCATTCACTTACTTTTTCACTACGAGGGATTTGCTTTGTGATTGACTGATTGATTGATTACAGATGCAACAAGGTCGTAGAACGGCTAGTTTAAAAGCATCTTACGAAGCGATAAACACGGGAGTTCACGCTCACGAATTAAGCATCGGAAGAGAATTAGCTGGAGCTGCTCACACGGCATTGCAAGCGACTCAGGAAGCCGCACGAAAACACAAGTAATTACTTTTCTTAAGTTATTGTTATTACCTAACAATAATAATAATAATAATAATAATAATAATAATAATTTATTTAATTGATATTTCAGGCGTGCGGCGGCTGCGTCACCGGTTATAGAAGTGCCAGCAGAAGAAGAAATGCCCGTCGTGGATTCGTCGTTGGATGCGGAAAATCCCGATTGGACGTACGATCCCAACGAGCCGAGATATTGCATTTGCAATCAGGTTTCATACGGAGACATGGTCGCGTGCGATAACGAAGACGTGAGTTGAGTCTTGTCGATATCATTATCGATATATCGATATATCGATCGATCGATCGATCATCGCGATATACTAATATCGATTTTTTTTTCTTTTTTTTCATTCCAGTGTCCTTTCGAATGGTTTCATTATCCTTGCGTCGACATAACATCTCCGCCAAAAGGAAAATGGTTTTGTCCGCAGTGTACGGCTTCGATGAGACGACGTGGTTCTAGAAAAAATTAAATTAAATTAAATTAAATTGCCAAAAAAAAAAAAAAATAATAATAATAAAAATAATAATAATAATAATAATAATGTGAAAAAAAAAAACGTGTATTGTTTTTTTTTTTTTTTTTTTTTTTTTTTAATTAGAGCGACAAAAAAATGATGATGATAATAATAATAATAATAATAATAATAATAATAATAATGAAATAAAAAAAATTAAAAGATGAATAATAATAATGATATAAATTTGCAATTTTTTTTTTGTTTGTTTTTTTTTTGCCCCCCCCCCCCCCCTTTTGTTTTTGTTTTTATTTTTAATCAATAAAAAAATAAATAAATAAATTTGGTTGCTTATAATCTGTTACCTGTTAAATAAATAACTTGAGATTAAATTAAAATAAAATAAAATAAAAATTATCCCGCAAAATATTTTTCAATTTTTTTTTCTTTTTCTTTTTTTTTTTTTTTATCCCACGGGAACCATTTTTTTGTTTTTGTCGAATTGTACTTTTTATTAAAGAAAAAAAAAAAAAAAATTTGATGGTTCCACGTCGTTTCCTATTCCCTTCCTTTTCGTTTCCGTTTATCATCATTATCACCTGCATTATTATTTATTTATTATTATTATTATTATCATTAAAAATATTAGCTTACCTTATAAAAAATCATTATGATGATGATGATGATGATGATGATGATGATGATGATGATGATGATGATTATCCTTATGATAGTAGAATTGAAAATTTATTTAGAAAAAGTCGGGGAAAAAAATAAATAAATAAATAAATAAAAGGTAAGAAAAAAAAAAATGGCGAACGTCTCTCGCGATTGTCATTTTACAATTCCTTTTCACGACATTTCATTTTATGTAAATTAATCTCATTATCATCATCATCATCATCGTGTAAAACCCTGCAATTGATCAAAATATTCCGACGCGACATTTTTATTAATTTTTTATAAAAACAAATGATAAAATAAAGGAAAATGACGAAAAACAAAATCAAAAATATTCCTACTCCGATTATGGCGTCGCCTGTCGAACCTAAAATAAATAAATAAATAAATTCGTTTATAATTTTCCTTTTTTTTTTGTTAATGGCGACGTTACTAATGGCATTACTAACTTCCGTTTCCGGTTTTAAAATTTATCGTTTCGTTTATCGTTTCGTAACAAGCCGACGGTGATTTCACTTCGATATCGAAACGACAAGGATCATTATTCTGAAAAAACAAAAACAAAAAATTAATTTTCGCGCGCTTTTTTTTTTCAAATTACGCTTCATACCTTGACCTTGAAAAATCTTATCAACTTTTTTCTTTTTTATCAACACGTGACAAAAAAAATAAAAATCCAAACGATTTGATTTTTTTATTTCCCCCCCCGTTCGTTCAAATCACGGACGGAAATAAGAAAAAAGGCGCGAATGAATGGAAAATTCAAAATTTATATATAATAATAATAATAATTATTCTGACATAAAATTAATTAAAAAAAAAAAAAGAAAATTACGTAATTTTTCTTCAAACACACGCTCGGGAAATTTTTTTTTCGATTTCAAGGTATACGAATAAACACATAAATCCCTTACGAAACCTTATTATCATTATCATTATCATTATTATCAATTAATTATTTTAAACGCACTCATACGCAAAACACAAACTTTTAATACTCGCACTTCCGGTTTTTTTTTTGTTTTTCTTTTGTTTTTCATTTCATTCGATTTCAAAACCAAAAAAAAAAAAAGTATTATTATTATTATTATTGCTGTGACGTTTGTTTGTTTGTTTGTTTGTTTGTTCTTCGTAGAACAAACGTCAAAAAATTTTTAAATCCTTTATGAAAACTCTACGACGACGAGGATTAAGCCGGAGAATGGGAAAGCAAAGCAAAAAAAAAAAAATTTTTAAGTTCAATTTCGACTATGGAAAACCAACCGACGGAAACGCACGCGCCCACGCACACACACACACACACACACGCAAGGGATCAGCCTGGAGGGAAGAAAAATGAGAGGAAAAAAATCGTAACGAAGTTATGAGAATCGTAAAATGACAAAAAAAAAAAAAGGAAACATGTCGGAAAAGAAATAAAAAAAATTTTTTTTTTCCTTCTTCTGCTAACGCTTGAGTTGTTTAAAACAACAACAACAACAACGGAAACGAACAAACAACAATCAGCCATTTTCGGAAAAGATTTTAATGATTGTATTACAGGAAGTTTGACATGTGGTGTGGCGAAATCACATAAGGTCCACGTGCAAAAATAATAATAATAATAACAACGATGATGACGTCATATGAAATAAATAACGGAAATGTGAAATCGTTCAAACGAAAACACGCAAAAAAAAAAAAAATTCACTTCCGTTATTCTTTTCCAACACACAAAACCCACAAAAATTTTTATTTTTTCTTCTTCTTTTCGATCCAGAACAAACAAAAACAACCACAACAACAACAACCGACGATTAAAAAATAAATAAATAAATAGTGGAAAATAATTACGTTAGTAATAAAAAAAAAAAAACAAAAAAATTAATTGCATGGCAGCCAACAACTGAAAAAAAAAATTTTTTTTAAACAAACATAAAATAAAAAATTCCGTCTTCTGCTTTTTTTTTTTTTTTTCTAAAAAAATTTTACGACCTCTATTGTATAAATAAATAAATAAAAATTTTTATTAAGTAAAACCACAAAAAAAAATTTTCCGGATCCATTTCCGGTTTCGTCGATATTACGTAATCAAATTCGAAAAGTTTCGCGGATCCGATTAAATTTAAAAAAAAATTTTTTTTTTTTTTTGGTTTACTTCCGTCGGCAAAAGATTTCGGAAAAACAGGAAATGGAAATGATGATCGTTTGGTGGAAATCGCAACGCGTGCGGGAAAAAATTCATTGTTATGATGACGATTTCAACGAAAATAGAAGAAAAATTTGAAAAATTTTTTCGAAAATAAGAAAATTCGAAAAGAATTCGAAAAAGTAAAAAACGGGTATAATATTTTCAGTGATGAAACCGCGCACGACGAAACCCTCCACCGTAGAAAATTCGAGTGAGAGAGAAAAAATATGCCGACGCCGCAAAATCGCGAAGGGAAGGTTGGGATAGGGGGAAAAAGGGGAAAGAGGGGGAGGGAAGAAAAACCTTAGAACGTTTTCCATTTTCTTCTTAAATAATCGTGAATCCGTTGAACAAAAACAAAAAACGAGAGAAATAAAATTTCAAAATTCATTCTAGAAAATTCCAAAATTCAAACGGGGGGCGGGGGGGGAAAACTCAAACGAACTCACTAATGAAAGATTCCAAACGTTTAAATGGTAGCAGCAGCAGGAACAGGAGCAGCAGCAGCAGCAGCATTATTAGCGCGTTAGAAATTAATAATAATAATAATAATAATAATAATAATGATGATGATGATGATGATGACGATAATAATAATAATAATAAAATTTAATAATTTAAAAAAAAACTGGACAAACATAAAGAAAAATAAAAAAAAAAATCGTTCGTGAATTTTCTTTTTTTCATTTTTTTTTCCTTTTTTTCCTTTTTTTTCCATTTTCTTTAATATTCTTATCGAAACAACGAAAAAAAAAAAAAGAAAAACTTTTCTTATTATTATTATTATTAATATTTTTTTTATATTATTTTTCATAACTTTTTCATAAAAAAAAACATTTTAATAAAACTTCAAAAGAAAATAATTTTCAATGACACGATTTTTGTTTCTTCGGTAGGAACAAGAAGAAGAAGAAAAAGAAAAAAAAAAAAAACATTTATTAAGAAATAGGCAGAAAGAGAGATAAGGGGGAGGGGAAACGGAGAAAGTAAAAGAGAGAGAGAGAGAAGGATAGGAAAAGGAAAAGATTGAAAGATTGAAAGAGAAAGAGAAAAAGAGAGAAGGAGAGAGAGATATTAAGTTTAAAAACTTTTTCCTCTTTTTTCTATTTTTCCTGTTTGTCGTTGTTGTTGTTGTTGTTGTTGATAACAAAAAAAAAAAAAAACAAAATTCTGTCGTCTGCTTTTTTTTAAAACATTTATACATATATATATATAAATATAAGTTATAATATCATTTTTTAATATTAAATTTGATATTTTTTTATTATTTACAAACAAATATTTTTTTGTTTTTGTTTCCCCCCCCCTCCGAACGTTTACGAAAAAGCAAACTTTTCGTTATCATCATCATCATCATCATCATCATCATCATTATTATTATTATTATTATTATTATTATTATTATTATTATTATTATTATTATTATTATTATTATGTCCACTATTAAACACGACAAGGCTCTTATTTGTCGGGGTTTTTAAGCATTTATCCCAGGTTTCTACCCGATTCCTTAGGGACAATTCCTTATTATTATTATTATTATTATTATTATTATTATTATTATTATTATTTAATCGATCATTCAATACAAAGTTTTATGTAAAAAAAAAAAAAATTAAAATTAATGCTCGAGTTAACAAAGAAAAAAAACCTCCATTTTAAATTAATTTTTTTTCATTTCCCCACCCCCTCCTTCACCTCCCCACTCTACCGGTAGGGGAGCTCGTCGTCAAGCAGAAATTCGAAAAGCAGAACAAAATAAATAAATAAATAAATAAATAAAAACTTAAAAGAAAAATGAATTCGAAACGGGATGACGAAAAGGGAAAAATTGGGTTGTTCTCTAATACCCTACGAGAAAATTGGGCGAGGGGCGGAGGCAGGGAGGGGGCGAGCGGGGGAGGAAAAGGAAAGGGTAAAAAACACAAAATCGAAAGAGTAAAAAAAAATTTCAACGGAAAAAAAAACAGAAACAGAAACAAATTCATCTGGAAATGAAAAGTCAAATTTTAATTTAAATCTTTTTTTTTTTACGACCAAAGTCCAAGCAATGAAAATCAATTTGAAAATAAATAATAATAATAATAATACGGAGAGACGTACAAAAGTTTTTTAAGGAAAGAAAAAGCGAAAGCTGGGAAAAGGAGGAGGAGGAGAAGGAGGG